TCCCAATACACCCATCATCTGGGAAATATCTACACTTCGCAATCAATGGCTGATGCTATGAATTCCAGGTCCTACCATTCGGGATAGCAATAGCACCTTGGCTATTCACCAGGATTACAGCGCCAGTCATCAAGTTCGCCCATCTCCAGCTAGTTCGAATCCATGGTTATCTGGATGTCTTCTTAGCAGCAGACCAAGGAAAAAAGATCAGCTACATCAGAACATGATATTCTTATTCCAGCTTATGACTTTCCTTGGTTTCCCAGCCAAGTCAGGTCCAAGACATTATATACATCGGAGCAAGATTCCAGCTAGACTGGGGATATCTATGTCTATGAGGATCGATGATGATCCAATCAATCTCAAGTCAACCCAGCAAGTGGATGATGTCTCTGTGGATGTCTCTGCTAGGCAACTTGACAGCATCTCTACAGGATATGACCTTTAGAGGAAGGCTGAGGCTACGTCCTCTACAGACATGGGTCAACTCTACACGATCTCACGACCTACTAGAATTCCAGTCTCAGTTACCTCCCACTTTGCTCCAAGACCTCCATTGGTGGAATCACAGAGAACATGTGATGAGTGGCATACTGCTGACTTATCCTACACCAGAACACCATCTGTTCACAGATGCGTCAGATTCGGGATGGGGAGCTCATATGGACGATCTCACTGTACAGGGATCGTGGAACACAGAGGAGAAAAACCTTCATATCAACTGCATTGGAATGAAGGCCATATATTACACCATCCTGGAATGGAGAACACAGCTTCATCTATCATCAGTTGTCTTAGCCACGGACAACAACACAGTAGTGGCATATATTCAGAAGCAGGGAGGAACCAGATCCAACTCCCTGATGACGGAGACTACACGATTGTTTGCCTTGGCAGACTCCTTCAACTGCTGGATTGAAGTGAGACATATACCCGGGAAACTGAACATACTGGCCAACAGCCTCTCAGGTCGGGGGAGAATAGTGGCAACAGAATGGACATTACATCCACAGATCTTCAGCTGGATAACCAAGATATGGGACATACCACACATAGATCTATTCGCCACCTGCCAGAACAACCAACTTCCGGTTTATGTCAGTCCTGTTCCAGACCCAAGAGCTCACCAGATCGATGCTCTTTCGATTGATTGGACGAATCTATTCGGCTAGGCATCCCCACCATGGCCTCTCCTAAACAAGGTCATCCACAAGGTGGAGGAGACGGATTGCACAATAATACTGATAGCCGCAGTATGGCCCAGCAGGGCATGGTTCCCCAGACCACTAAAGCTACTAATGGAGGAACCCATACAGTTACCACCTCGTCGGGTTCTGCTACGACAGCCCAAGTCCAGCATATTCCACAAAAATCTGCCCAGCCTACATCTAACCACCTGGAAGTTATCGCACAGAAGATGCAAACATGTGGTTAGTCTGAGCTTGCCTCGGATGCTGTGGCAAGTTCATGGAGACCTTCATCCGCCCTTATATATGACAACAGATGGGACAAGTTTGTCCAGTGGAGAAGACGACTAGGGATTATTGATAATGCTGTATCAATCCCTATGATAGCAGACTTCCTTTTTATCTATGTCAAGACAATAAATTCAGACATGGGACGATAGAAGGTTATAGATCCCTTCATTCTGTACTTCAACATGATGGATTATCTATTGGAAACCATCCCATCCTCAACATATTATTTAAATCCTTTCTACCAGAAGATATAAGGTCCCCTCGTATCTTCCCTAGGTGGAATCTATCTGTTGTATTATCGGCACTGATAACGGAACCTTACGACCCATTGTGAAGGCTACCCTTCTTCAAAAAGCCAGGAAAACATCGTTTCTGCTAGCCATGCCAAGCAGCAAGAGTTTCAAAATTACTATAAGATCGCTCCCCGAATTCATAGCCAAGAACCAATCTACCACAATGGGACAGTTGGGTCATTGACACTATACAATCCCTGGACCAACAGTGGATCAATCAGACAGACTCTTATGTCACATCAGAGCTCTCAAGTTCTATCTCTCGGCTACAGACCAACATAGACGCTATCGAAGGAGATGCTTCCTATCCTGTAAGACCAACTCGAACAAGGGTATCACCAAGGCTACTTTAGCAGGATGGATGAAGGCCAGAGTTGCACAAAGTTATACACTGGCTCAGAATTCCATGCCACATTTCGGATCCTGCTCAGCTAACGAAATAAGAGCCCTAGCCACGAGTCTCATGTCATGGACTACAGTCTCAGTAGAACAAGTAGTTTCCATCTGTCAGTGGGCCTCACAAAACACCTTCACCAGCTTTTACATACGTGACGTGCAGCCGGCCCTAGAGAGCATGTATTCCCTTGGTCCGGTGTTCGTGGCGCAAACTATCGTCTGACAATAGTTTCAACCCTTCTATCGAAAAAAAAAAAAAGGGGGGGGGGGGGAGAGAGAAGAGAGAGAGAGACAATGATCCGACACCAGCAGCATCAGAGGGTAAGTACACACTTGATTACCGGTACTCTGCCCATCAGGTGTAGGATGGTTTAGAAGCACCTTAAATGTCATCTTATCACCTTTAACTGGAAGTGATGTCATAACCGGAAGTAATAGAGGAACCGGAAGTGACGTCGTCTGAAATAGCTGAACAAAGTCCTAACCAGGAAATGACGTCTTTGTGGTAGAAATACACCTAAAGAGTCGTCATTACCAAAAGGGGAAGTGACACCATAAGCGGAAGTGGCGTGAGAACCGGAAGTGACGTAATCGCTGATATTATAGGTCACTAATCAAGATTTATTATGGTTAAAATCAGCATATATAACCGTAAATGTGGTGATACTATCACATATTTGACTGGTTATTGACATAGCTTCTGATTTTTAAGTCCTCAAGGGGAATTTCAGAGGAAATTATATCAGTAGGATTAGAATCAGTACATTATGGTTTCCAGAAAAGGATTGCTGTCAATTACACAGGGAGTTACTAGAGTTACTTGGGATCAAGTCTATAGGGTTACCGCGTTCCCTCTGGTATATTCTGGCAGATATGTAATAGAGGTAGTTTTGTAAGAATTATCAAACAATAGTTTATCATTGTTGATAATTCTAAGAATACTACCTCAATTACATACAAATTACCCCCTCCCACCTGCCCAATTTATCTACCTCCAGTGGGAGATGAGGGGGAAAAGTGATATGGCCGCCATTGTGATGTCACGGCGTGGGTGGGTACGAGACTACTTGGCGACAATTAATTGTGTGTAATTGACAGTGAAGAGAACGTCTATTGAAAATCTGAAAATTTTAGTCAGTGTGATTAAAGCCAAAATACAGGATTAATGGCAGATATGTAAAAGAGGTAGTATTCTTAGAATTATTATCAATGATAACTATTGTTCTATTTATACAACATGCCAACGTCATTATTACCCATGCCAATAATGTTATTATGCAGCCGCCTGTAATTGGTTTGATTAATTACCGGTACACGCTTAGAGCAGAAGTTAGTTGTTAATCTTCATGCCTGATGTACCTCCTATATATTCTGAGGACCTTTTCTGACATATTTTGGGGTGTCATTGAAAGTCAAGGTTATTCAGTTTTGTTTTGTTTGTTTGTTTGTTGTTTAACTCTGCACTCAGCAATATTACAGCTATAGTGTGACAGGCATCAAAACACCTTGTGTACCTTGTAATACTAATATTTGAGTATTAATGATTCCAGGGCAGTATTGATGGTACAAGAACAAGTCTATTTTCAGTGATTGTGTATCAACATTTATGATAAGCAGTGAGTTCTTAGGGAAGTTGTATTTCATGATCCTTTGGCTTATATGTTATCGATTAATTCCATTACGCAGCTTGAGGAAACCCTACTGTGTTATGACGTGGGTTGGGCAGACTGTTCGCACCAGGCTCTGGGTCAAGTATGTCATCATATACTAATTGCGTAGATCGATGCTCATGATGTCAGTCACTGGATTGTCTGGTCCAGACTTCATAATTTACAGACCTTTGTCATATAGCTGGAATATTGCTGAGTGCAGCATTACATTTCAAAACAAATTTGTGTACAGCTATTCTCTCACTATTCTGATGTTGTGTGTCTGTTCTGTCAGAACCTCTTTGCGGTTGTCACTGTATAACAAAGTCTTCCTTTTATTTAAGTTCAATGGAAGTACGTGAAGAATCTTACATTCTCCTGTATTCTCTGAACATGCGGTTACTATGAAACTTTGGATGAATTATCCAAACAGTAATGCCATCAAAATTTGAAATAATATAGTTTTTAAAATATTACTTTTATTATATAATATGGGTGTCGGTAAGTGGTTTTGGCACATTCATAAATGTTTGGGGCACATTTAATATACAGCTTTGATGTCATTCAATTTAAAAATTGAAGATTATCTCTAACATATTGACAGTTTACTGACTTTCTGCAATACAAGCTTTAGCTCATGCATTAATTTTAAGCAAGTACATTACGAATATACTGGCTACAATGATCAAATCTTACTTGTAGTACAAATATACTGGCTGGTTGAAAGGCAGCACAGATATCGAAGCACTAAGTAAAACATTCACATGTATTATACATGTAATGCATTAAATTTCCCTGCACATTGATTCATTTTAACTTCCTGGCTGTATTTTAAATCTGAATTTGCATGTGTAACTGTTACTAATAATGATCCATTATTTGTAACAAATGTCCTGTTATGCGTGCGATCCTCAAAAGAAAATATAGTTTAATGTGAACATTGTGTTTTACCCCAATATTAGCTTTTCTTGCAAAAACAAAACATGCAATACCTGTGACATTTCGTTTTATGACTTTCTTTGAGTCTTTTCATAAACATACTCCCTGATTCAAATTCACAATTTCACTTAAAGGTTTGTAAATGAACAAAATCCAAAAGGCTACATTGACAATAAAAGTGACTAAAGGTCACCAGTTTCACATGCGCAATTACTAGATGCAAGAGAGACAACACAAATAGCATGTTAAAGTACCAAATTTATTTGTTTTCTCAAAATATTACAGAAGATGTTCCAAGAGAAAGCATCACACCTCATCGTGCCATTTTCCCAACTTTCAATCATATAATTAGCATTCAGTGTCATTTTCACCTCCCTGATACTTTCTCTTGTAAAGATCACATTTCATTGTAGTCACTGCAGACACTAATCCCATAACATACAAGTCTGCCTCTCAGAGTTAAGACACAAACAAATAAATACTATGTAACAATAAGAACAATAATATATCAGTGAGCAGCAAATACAGACTGTGAGCATCAGTATGTGGCCAAATGGCTGTGAGTTTAGGACTAATAAGTGTGCAGCAGCAGCAGCAGCAGCAGCAGCATCTAATTATCACATATCTAGGATCTCATGCTTGAATTATTGATGGGAATCTGTAACAAATTTTTCTGCTGACTACGAATAGTATTTACTGAAATCAATGAATAATCTTTCGAAAAGCAACTACAGAATGTTCACTTACTCAAAGTAAGGCAGCTACTTAGAAAAGATATTGCAAGAATATTTCAATGGTGACGTGAATATTTAACTGAAAATGATGACATTGTAAAATTTCACGCGTCATTGCATATTAATAAATTATATGAATTATTTACTCATTTTTTAATCAAAACATTTCACGTTAAAAATGTATTGGCAACCTTGAATTAGGTGATCTTTTTAATTTAGTTTATTTCCTATGACGCTGAGTTGACAGTTCCTTGTATGTCTATCACATGAATGTTCATTATTGTAAGACACTGAACAACAAAACAATACTTCTTAATTCACCAAGTAAGTAAACTGTTTCAAACTCAATATCACATGGTACAATCTCACAGGCATACTTCATTTCCAATTCATGAAATCAGACAGACAATACTATGAACAGTTGTCAAGTCGGAAGACAATATTAGACATTCCAGATGAGTATTTATCTGTCACAGTAAAATGCATGCAAAGATCGATAAATACATAAGCATGACAAACAACTCCTTGAGTGGCGAAAATTACCACCATAAGCTTGCTGAGAACAATCAAATATATCACAGATTCAAGAAAATAAGCATAATAATTTAAGAATAAAAGTGAGCAGTAGTGTACACTGAGGTGATTCTGATGACTGGCATTGATTGGATGACCCAGTATCTTAATACCGGTTTTACCTGAAACAGTTCATCCAATATGTGCTTGCATATATGTTCAGCTGGTCTGAAATTAAGCCCTTACGTGATACCACAGTAGGAATACTGATCTAGGTAATATATGGTAACAGATAACCAATATGAAAGCTATTGTCGTGGGTATATTTACAAGGTGTTGTATCAAAACATTAGTCTGTATGAAACTGAGTTTGGCACATTCATATGAGAAGCTGAAACTAAAAATAGTTGTTTATTACCTACAATATTGAAATAACCTATACTGATAGTCAAAATTTAAGTAACTGCAGATTACAAAACCAGTACCTATCAAGTTGGGAAAAGCAGCAATCAATCAGAAAGGGAGGAAAGTGACTATCATTGATACTATAATAGTGAGCTGTATTTATGGGTAAACTAATCTAAATTAAAAGATGTTTCTAATCAATGGCATTACATTACAAGTCTTGTCATATTGTGCAAACGAGTACATGAATCGACTTCTTTTACCAGATTGAAGACTTAAAGCAATATAATATGAAGTAAGTTTGATCAACAAGCCATATGGTCTATTGAATAATAGTGAGTGAGTGAGTATGGTTTTACACCGCTTTTAGCAATATTCCAGGAATATCACGGCGGGGGACACCAGAAATGGGCTTCACACATTGTACCCATGTCAGGAAATTAACCTGGGTCTTCGGCGTGACGAGCTAACGCTTTAACCACTAGGCTACCCGACTGCCCCTCTACTGAGTAATAAATAAATTCAGGTGATGAAGATAAAGAAGATGTTCACATTATTTCCACATTTTCAAAAATGGCTTTTCTGTGATCCAGTTGATAAGGAAAGGTCTGACTAATTGTACTCATGTCCACCCCCTGAAACTTGACCTTTGCTTAGCTTATAATTACCAGTAATCACTTATCAATTATAATACAAGATAAATATCATCATAAATTAGCAGGTGCAATAATTTACCTTCCTAGAAGATGGTTATTGGGTTTGCACATTATTTTATCTGATGCTCAGATAGCATGGTAACATGAGAAATTCAAATCAGTAAAACTCTTAACTTGGAAGAAGTCCTTTTCACACTGATAGTTGAATCAAGTTCTTGAACTGAAGTATCGCGTTATCCACTATCCTATTGTTTAGTATTTCAGAAGATGAAGATGATTCTTACATGCCAGTTGTCTAGTGCTTGTGCTGTGATTTAGTAACAGATAAATTTGATTTCACACAATGAAGAGTATATATGTTGTATGGATTTACAGAAGGGTGGACAGTGTTTTGTGAAAACAGATTTTAAAATCATACTTGAATATTCTCTAATAAAGTGAAAGGTTAACCTTATAGTCCCACTAAGGGATTCCAAACAATTGCAAGAAATAACAGTAAATATCTCATCTTTGGCCGGCAGAATTACTATTTACAATAACAAGACATGTGGACATGGTTAAGTGAGGTCAGTATCATCAGTTCACTAAGGTTTTACTTTGGCTTTTAGGGGCTATCTAAATAGACACAATTGCATGTATTACATGCACTGTACACATGCAGTGCCAGGAAAGTGGAACAAAGCTGGAATGAATGGATTGCAAATACAGTAAAGTCTGCCATGGGCAAGTCCAACTGGGCTAGACGACTCTATCTTCCATTAGCATCCATCCAAGACCTTCATGCTCATGAACTATTGGGCTGCAAGACTTCGCTTTAGGTATCCATCACATTGTCACTTCAGAATATTGTCCTCTGAAGAATATTAACACTTTGTCTCTTGTATCCAGTCACTTTCTCTGCTATGTGGTTTGTTGTCCTTGGTTACAGTACATAAAATGACAGGTCAGCACTGAGTCACAGCCCATATTTCTTATTCGATTTTTGCAGTTGGGAGCACATTTATTCATTGGTGTGCTCTTCTTGGGGGAGACGACCGTTTAACCTGTTTTGGGCCCATATGTATCTTGCCACGAACGCAGATAATTATTTAACATTTACTTTATAAACAAGTTCCACAAGAGGTATAATCAATCACAGCAAGCATCATAAGTCAAGGTGATTTATGTCCAAGTCACTGCTACTAGAATACAGCGTATTCACAGAAGGAACCTGCAGAGTATTTGATACATTTTTCTTTCTGATAGGTGAGAAGTGTTGATTTTGTGCACTCTTCAGGCTGGCCCGACTGACTGCACTGCTGGGCCTTGAAGAACTGAAGAAAGACGTCAGTGCATTGCTGAGCCGACGACCGAGGCTCATAATGCTGTTAGCTCGGGAACGCGAGTCCATGGAGCTGGAACGAGACAGGTTTTGCTGCATGGCCTGAGCGGTGATGTTCTTCAGCAAGCGATGAGTCTTGAAGCTCTTCCAGGCTTGTTGCAATGTTCTTGCAGCTACTTCCTCTTTCTTCCTCTGCATGGTGGTTGACTTGACCACTGTGTTGACACGTGAGGGGAACACAGTCTGGAATTTCTCCTCCATCTGATTTCTTACCTCCCTGAATTCTGCAGTTTCTTCAACATCTGATAACACATTTTTCACCAGTGCCATTAAGATGTCCAAGCAATGTAGCTTATCTCCTTCAACTATTGGAAGGTCAAATGACACAAGAGCAATTTCATTAGGTTTGGCTATCCCAAATGGTTCCTCCAGATCTGCCACAAAGTCAGTTAGTTGTTCATACTTAATGAACTGGGTAGCATGTGGGTCGTACCTCTCCCAAACTACATAGAACATATCAAAATCATCCTCTGTGATCCCCACCTCCTCTTGTTCATGGGCCTGGTTGAAATTCTCCAGAATCACAGCTATGTACATATTGATAATAACAAGGAAGATAATTATAATATAGGACACCATAAACGGTATTGCTAGCCACGGTATGCCGCAATCACCATATGTCTCCTTCACCAAGGTTCCGTTAGGCAAGGTCTTGAATTCCGGATCACAGTCTGGGGGAGAAATCAACATAGCATCCAGGATGTCATTCCAGCCAGCAGAGGTAGCTAATCTCAGCAGCAACATGAAGGAATTGAAAAATGTCCTGAAGTTGACAATATCATCAAGTGCTCCATTGATTTTCAGATTGCCGAAGGAGGACAAACCGATGATGGCATAGATGTAAAGGACCAGGAAAAGTAGGGCACCAATGTTAAAGATGGCCGGGAGGGAGATGATGAGAGCAAACAGCAGCTTGCGGATACCCTTGGCAGCCTTGATGAGACGTAGGACTCGCCCAATACGGAAGATACGCACAACTCGTAGCAGTGTAGGAGTCACAAAAACGTCGGAGAGGAGATCATCCAGTACCACACCTGAAATATTAGAAGTTCATTAGAAAACTGGTTGACGATATTCCTCATAAGCATTTGCTTCTCATTGCATCATGCTTTGGTAGCACAGAAAAACAATTTGAAAACAACACACCTTGCCCGTTGGTTACCCATGTTTCGAGGGAATTTCTTATATAAAATTGAAGGTACGTATGTGTCTATGCTAGATGATCTAAGTTGTTGTCTAATTTTAAAGCCAACATATCTGTAACATATATAAGTCCCGGTTCATTACCTTATTGGAGCTACAAGGACAGGAAATGCAAATGTTTGTGTATACTATTTCTTTATTAGATGTTTCATACATCTGTGCAGCTGGAAATGAAATGATTATGAAATACTGACATTTATCATACATTATAGAAATAAGCTTACAATATTCACGATCAAACATGTCAGTACTAACTGTGAAATATTTACAATAATGTGTACATTTTCTGGTTTTGTTGGTATGAGAGGTCTGTATTATTTAAATTTGAAAAATACAGAGAATTTGCAAAATAGTGTAGTTTTTATATGATCTATAAAAATATAAATATTTGCAGGTTGTCTGATAATTATTCTAGAGTTGTGAAAATATGTGTCAGTGGTTCAACATAGAGGAACATTCTCAATATGCACCTGATAATGCACATGTTCTTGCCAGTGTTGTGTTGAACACATAAAATCAAACCTAATATTCAATGGAAAACATTTTACAACACATAACAGGTCAACAGATAGATCAGACCTTAACAAGATAGAGAGTATACACATTATTAGTTATGGAGCTTGCAATATGTTAAGTCAGCCATTTACCATCACAATACATGTAGTGTTTTGTTACTCTATCTTTAGATATCACTGATTTATCAGAAAGTAGAAGAAAGTGTATTCACATATGATTAAAAATGCATCTATGTTGTATTAATGAAGGGTGTACCACTTTTTACAAAGTAATGTATGAAAGGCTTCTAATCTTAAAATGTCAGAAATGGAACACCTAGAAATGGAATAAAGCACATAGAACATGGTTGGTGGATCAGGAAAAAGTAAAAAATGCAAGACATTATCATCCTTTTTAGAATTTCCTCCACAGAAACTTAAAACACAATCCCTCTTTCTCTGATAATGTCTGGCTTATTAAGAAGTGATGATCAAATAAATCTGTCACTGTTTCAAATATCTTTATCAAAACTGCTGCACATTATATTGAAGATTATTGCAAGATGACAATAACTTTAGGTCAAGATACTGAATTAATACTCAATACTGTCCATCACCCAAGATAAATGTCAGACGTTAATTTTTACGATGTCTGACAAAACGTCAGGGAGTGTTTAGGGGAATACTGATCATTGTCTCACCATCAGGACCTCGACACCCTCCTACTGCCCCCAGTCCATCTAAGGTGTTCTTTAGGACACTTGTGTCAAATTTCAGCCAAACGTGACACTTAACCACAACATTATTTCCCAAGTCCTTTACCCTTCAAGTTAGTATATATGACTCCTGTTTTTATTGTATGCATATTTCCCCCCTCTGCATGCACGAGGTGTCAACCCAGTTCTCAACACACTCTACACTAGCCCAACACAACAAAAATAGTATTCCACTCAGGATTTGGTCAAGCAGTCACAGACTGAAGTCCTTGTTCTACCAAGCAAACATCTAAATTAATCCCTGTTAGGTTCATACTGTGAAAAACAGGGTTTTAGGACAAACTTTGGCATGTTACTTTTTAGGGTAGATGCATGCCACCACTAGTGTATAACCCTCATATGGCCTGGACATGACACAATGAAGCTGGGTACATCAGTCAATGTCCTGTCGTCTGTCTGAGGCACATGGGTAGTACAACACGGGAAGCAGCTGGGGTAGATGTACATTCTACACAAACCTACCATTAACATGGGCACACAGAAACAGTGATAGCAACTAAGAGCAGAACGATTCACCAGTACAAATCAATATTCAATGCAACAAAACGATATAATTCTGATAATTATTTCACTAATTGTTTTAATTACTGCATATCATTAGAGGAAAGTACATTATTCAGTCATGTCACAACGACACTGAGCATGAATATTGTGATGTGAATCATGGAGAAGAAAGTATCACAACACATATCGTATCTTTGGTGCATCGTTCCCTGGCTAGATGCTACTCAGACATGGGTACACATTCAGTTACATGGGTGACTATATGGGTGGATGGTGTTGCTAGTGCTCCTGTCAGTAGTGAGGAGGTTCAGGAATTGTGTCCAGATTACTGCCAATACTTCATGTGTACATACAGTGAATTATTTGGTGAGAATGAATAAGCTGACTCTTCAATGAATGGCAAAACACAAAAACTTTACAAACATTTCACTTGTATATACTACTCAAAAGAACTTAAGGACCACCTGATTCTTTTATATTTCTATAGTTAATCTGTCCCGGCATGAAGAATCGGATGGTCCTTGACATCTTTTGAGTAGTATACAATACTCTGTGTTTGTTGATCTCAGTTTTTGTATTCCTGAACACATTACAGTCATTTGTTTTGTCTATAGCATTTCCAGTACTGTATTACTGATGAGGTTATATGGCAGTAACCACAAACTAAACACAATTCCTGATGTACATATATATCAGTGCCCAATACCTTTACTATGTGACTAAGTGTGCTTATATTTCATCTATGTATCTAAATCTTCTAAACTGAAAACCATGCTTATGATTGGAATATTCACATGAGAGATTTACATATTGTGCAATCAGATGAGTCTACTTTACATAATGGTGACAAAGTGCTATACTGCCAGCACCAAGTCATTTGGCAGACTCTAGGACAGTCACATGACATGAACTGAGCTACTGATAGGTTGTTGCTAAGTTACCTGACTGTAACTGGCTCACGGTAATATCTAAATAAGAAGATTCATGAAAAGTGTAAAACAATGTTGTTAGCTGTTGTGAATCATATTTTACTAAATAAGATGACGATTCCCTGAAAAATTAATCAAGAAATTAAAATTTGGCAGATCACATTTTGTAATATTGATTTTCAAGATGGTTGATTGTAATCCTCCATAACTGAAATGTTTCACATAGGCAGAGGCAACTGTGACATGTGAAACTGTTTGAAGTGTTGAAATAAGATAACTTTACCATGATTGAGGGTCTTACAACTTCTTTGGATTCATTATCACAAGGATGATGAATGTCATTTAGTTTAGGACTCAGTGGATGGTGGCAGGGAACAATGAAGGGTATAACTCAACATACACTATTTGAAGGAAGAGAATATATGGATGTCAACTTCTTTATTATGAGGAACACAAAGTTTTGGAGTATGTGCTTACTCCTTCATCACATACTCCAAAACATTGTGTTCCTCATAATAAGGAACTTGACATCCATATATTCTCTTCCTTATGTGTATCACTTCTAAATGCCTTTCAAAGACCTGATACCATATTTTGTTGTGTAGAAGGTAGATAGGAGTGAGCATTATACATGCAGACAAGGAGTTCTTATAATACTTTCCAAAGCAAAGGCATAATCATAGCAGGTAACACAGGATATAGCATTTCAACAAATCTGTCATGAACTTCATAAGTTAGACCTACTATTATGCTATGAAAATTGTTCAGTGTATTTCTGTCTATAGTAACAAAAATTAATTTGAAATTGTAAATCATCATGTCTGGCAATTTGTTATAACAAAATTCACATTTTCATCGAGCAAGTTTGCTATCTCCTGTTCATTCTCCAGAAATGGGCAAGCAATAGGATATTTCTGACTGCGATTATATACAAAATCAGAATTTCTTGAACCTTGTTCCTTATAATGGGGGTTGCTCACTATACTCGTGTACATTATACACAAAAACATATGGTAAATGAAAACCACAGTGTCTGACAATAGGAGGTGGACAAGACACTGGGATTGCTCATGCATGTGTCCTGTTATCTTCCTGATCAGTGAAACTGTTTACAACACTTAATTCAGCAAAACATCATCGATCGCCACCCCGCAGAGTGATGATATCAGTTGATCTAAGCAGGTATGTGAGGGGTATATTTTATAAATAAAAGTAAAAATGTGCAATATATTCTTCTTGCATATATATCTACAATATTTCAGATAAATCACAGCATGTCAGCTTAATCTGGGATGCTTCCATGACAACAGGATCCTGGCACAGGTAAGGGATACAACTCAGCACAGTGTGTTGGACTTGCTATCCATGTCCCCTTGCTATATAAGAGAGTAACTGGACATCACCAATTATGATTCATATGTTATCTGACACAAACACATCCCGGCAGTCGTCCTGCCAATACTGGTCAAAGGAAACATATTGACAGGAATGAAGGGAACAAATGTCACATATACTATCACTAATGTTAACCTAATGTAGACTTATTGACTAACCGAACAATGATTCTGTTCTATTCGAGGTGTCAAAAGTCAAGCTGTTGCTCATATAGTAAATCTCACCCGAGTGTCTTTTGATATTAAATATATCAACACTCGTAGATAAAACTGGAACAACTCCTTAAAAAGCCTCAGAGTTTTTCCACTTTTATCAAAGAGTGTTGATATATTTGATATCAAAAGACACTTGAGTGAGATTCTCTATCTGTTCTATAGTACTCTATTGTTGTGAAGAAGACGGTACATACTGCACAGGTCATAAGCTTATAAACTTACTCCTGAAATTTAAGTAATATATTAATGCATTGAAATGTACCTGAACAAAATCTTCTTGTCTAATTGTTAAACCAGTTGAAGCACTTCTACAAATAATGTTAAGCCTTGAGTCCTGATAAAAATGTTTTCACTTATTGATACTAATTGCGAACAGTCAGATCTTGTAAAGTTGACATTGCAAGTAAAACTGGATAACTGGACTTTTAACCAATAAATAGAAGAAGTAGAAATTGTGGATAATAAACATTTTCTGAGTACCCTGAGCCCCTTTATACAGGCTTGTGCTTGTAAGAGGCCTCGCTCATCATGGAATTTGCTCACGTGAGGCACTGCCTTCATCAACTGATGAACGTCAACAAATACATCCTCAATCCATAAATGAATAAATTGTTGATCCCGTTTATTAGATTGAAAAGGATTCAGCATTACTTCTTTTACTATTTATTTCACCTTATGACTGTTTTTTGCGAACATGTGAAAGGGTTTTTTCTTTTAAAGGTTGGAATCACTCAATCAAAATTAAAGTATTCTGGTTGAACAGAAACTTCCAGTTCACGCCCTCCATTTGCCACTTAACTAGAGTTGACTGTACAATAAATTTGAGAAGCAGGCACATTTATTGTATGTCCACATATTGAGTCTCACCTAGGATAGACAGGATGACGATGATGAAGTCAAAGACATTCCAGGCCTGGCGGAAGTAGTGCCAACGTAGCCCGACAAGTTTCACCAAGGCCTCGAGGGTGAAGACAGTGGTGAAGATGATGTTCATGATGTCCAGTACCTGGGACACAGCATCTGACTGGTTGTAGTGCTCAATCCCCATCACAATCATGTTCAGGAAGATGATCAGCACTATAGCCAACTCAAACTTGTTACTGATGGACACATCATAGAAGAAGGCTGCAAATTGTTTCTGAAAATGAAAAGACATGAATGATGTAATATCTTGTAGTTTCTTGGGTTATTTGTTTCTCCACTTCAAAATATTGACAGTAGCGGGTGACCTTAGCGCAACATGGAACTTGCTCACGTGAGGCACTGTCTTCATTAGCTGATGAATGTCAACAAATACAACTCCAATCCTTCAACAGTGGCATTGTATCAAGGGTAGATACCATGATTTTAATCCTACAAATCCATAGCTAATTTCAGATTAGCTGTTCATGTGAGACAACTACAGTTCAAACAAATACTAGTTCTTCCAGATCTTGTCTTGGGACTAGCAATCAAGTGTCAGTGTCTGAATCTGTTAAAGCTAATAAATGAGCATTTCTCAGCTCTTCCTAATTTATACAACTGGAGTGAGCGAGTGTGGTTTTATGCTGTTTTCAGCAATATTCCACCAATATCACATCAGGGGACACCAGAAATTGATGTTGTACCCATGTGGGGAATCTAACCCGGACCTTCAGCATGATGAGTGAACGCTTTAACCACTAGGCTACCCAACTACCTGATACTACTGGAAGTAATTTGCATTGATTATAATCAATAATATGATGGATAACTGATGGAGTCAGAAGAGCTAGGGATAATTCAATAGTTTGGTATTGTATTGAGGCAGATGCATTCATGTACATACTTTGCAGCAACGGTTTAAAGTTGACATACCTTTGGTCTTTTGATGGTTTTCTGAGGTTTCTTGTTGCCGAGTTTCTTGAGAGTGTTGTAGTAGTTGCGCTGACTGGAGGTGAGGAACATGTCCAGGTAGCTGCCTTCATACTGCAACATAAACACAGTTCCCTTGTAGTACTCACATCAATCCCGGTAGGAGTCTAGGGCAAATAGGTCTATCCAATCCTTGTAAAGAAAATCCAATAGTTAATGTGACCTGGATGGTCATCAGAGCCTGACTGCATGGCGTAATGTGAAAGTAAAATTATTGTAGGGAGTGATAGTAGTGGCAGCAAATGAAGCTCTCGGCAGCTAGTAAATTAGAGTCTCCCCCCCCCTTAATATTGTAAACAAACAGGACAGACAACATCGTTTGAGAAGTTTCATGGTGTGACAGTTTCTAGAAGGCTGGCTGTGCCTATATAACACCTGACTTGTGTCTTACCTACTTTACTGAGAGCGGACAGGATACTTATCTTAAAACACTGACTTTCTGCCAGCTGAATCCAGATTCAAGAACAGAGCATGTGCCTCATTCAAGACATTTGACAGTGACAAATTATGTTTATTTGTGAGTGCACTGACATTTATTAGAGGGTCTGTTATTTACTGCTGTTGCCACTTTATTGTATTGCCTTTTGTGATTGTAACTCTAAAATTGTGTTTCAATACAATTTGTTAATTATTCATTGATCTGGTGTGGTTATTTACTGACTTCAAAATTAAATTCTGTAAGAACAGGGTTTTGGTTTAATCTCTGCATTTTCATTTAGAAATCACCGGGTTACAGTGGCACATTGCTCATTCTAACAACCACTGGTTTGCTGGGCTCAGATGTGATTGCCTGTATTTACACACTTTTTTTTATATTGTTGAAATTTCTGAAATTGCTGACCGGCTTCTAACGTGCCGCAGTCTTCTGTACAGGGCTGTGGCCTAATCATGCCAGAAATCTATTATCGTGGGTTTTAAACCCAGATTCACTGTGATTATGCATCACTTCCGGCTTTCCTCTTGCATCGAGCAGACATGTTGTGACGTAACTTGAAGGCTGTTCAAAGTGGCGTTAAACCACACGTTCCCTACTGATGTGAGAGAATACTGTTTGCTTCCTATAGTGAGTATCCGACACTTTGTGTTACAAGCCTCACCTTTTTCTTCAGCACATTGAAGTTATCAATGATGACACCAATCAGTAGGTTGAGTGTGAAGAAGGCCCCAAAAATGATGAATCCCACAAAATACAAGTAGGCCGCAAAGTTGTTCTCCTCCCTTGGCTGAACATCAATCTGGAAGTATCAAACTTTCTGTGAGACGAAATCCAGCAAAAGACCACTCTTTTATATCTGGTTACTCTTCTTGATCAAACAAACTAACAAATAGATAAATAGAAGAAATGTTACATAAGTTTGGAGTGTCGGATCTACCAAATGTAATTTGCTTTCTTTGTTCAAAATACAATTGGCTGGGTTTTGTATGTTGGAACTTGAAAATATAATTAAAATCATCTGAACATTTGAAAAAAGATGGTAGATGAGACTTGATATGCGTACAGATTTAACAAAGCTTCTCAGCAAGTATTTTCTCCAATAGGATCTTACCTCAGTTGCATCCACAGCATCAATCATGACCTCCATCCAGCCTTCAAATGTTGCCTGTAGAAACACAAATGTTGCTAATCTTGCATCACAAAGAATTCATGGTATTGAGATTTGAAAGGTGGTAGTTTTCATTTTGTCATTAAAACTAATGTCTTTTTACATCACATAATACTTAGTGTACTTATCACACTCAATATTTCCATCAAAGTCTACACTAAATCTTAAACTACATGTACCTACACATGATTTCATTCAAGGAATTGTTTGCTCGTTTACATGTGTAAAACCATAACATAGTTAATATGTAGGCACATCTTCAAACTGTAAGGGGGCACGGGTGGCCCAGTCGTCTCAGGCACCGCGATTTGCTGTGCAGAGTTGCATCCCTTGGTCACGCCAGAAACCGATGATTGTGGGTTCGAATCCTGGTTCGCCCTGATTATGTTTCTAGGTTTGTCAGCACCATACCCGTGCTCGTGGGTTTCGCCAAAGTGGTAAATGTCTGAGACCTGCATCACTTCGGGCTTTCCTCCCACATTTTTAGCTGACACGCCGTGATATAACTGGAATACTGAATAAAGCGGCGTAAAACCCATCTCACTCACTCACTCAAACTGTCAATTCCTGAAGCTTGAGGAAGGTTGTTGTTACAAAACTCTAAAAAACTGTTCTTTGTTCAGTGAGCCATAGCAAACAGACAGACTAGGGTACCACACATGTAACAGTTTTCATCACTGTCGACAAGACTTCAGACAGGAACCAAAGGACAAGAAGAAGACATTTAGGCAGTGTGAAGCATGGGAACAAAATGTTGCTGCTATTTGGTAGCCCATTCTATTTAAACCTTCCAGAAATGATTATGGCACTTACAACTTGAAACAAGGCCAAATAACCCTGTAAGACATTGTCAAAGTTGATATGGGAGTTTCTCCATGTGTAGTTCATGTGGCTGTTTGCTTCACACTGGCTCCGGTTGGCAATGATGCTCGCATCAATCCTCTCCAAGTTGGCATCCACACACTTAAAGAACTTGCCAGAGAAGAACTGCACGCCCATGATGCTGAAGATGAGCCAGAACACCAGGCACACAAGGATGACATTCACAATGGCTGGGATGGCCAACATCAGGGCGTTCACCACAATCTGGAACAGCAATGGTCAATGCGTTATATCTACTTGTTAAATCAGAGACCTAACATCAGTATATGGTTTCTGCTCAAAGGAAATATGTATAGGGCAATGAAGACAAAACATATGAAACATGAGATGTGATAAAAGAATAAATATCCTATTATTCTTTTATAAGATGTTGTGGTGATATTGTCTAAACATGCTAAAGGTCTTTTTGATTTTATATTCTTAAAAAAAACAAGTAACTCCAGGCAAACTATCTGCAGGGTTACAGAAACAGGCATGACATATCAAGCAGGAATACAATCTTACAATTAATGTATTATTATAATTGATGTATTATGACATTACATGGCACCTTAAAACTTTAAAGATACTTGACAGAAGTCAACCCTGTCTTCATTCTTACTACAGTGTCTTAATCCCACTTAAAGATTTACATGACATCGTTGGTTTGTTTGTTTGTTGTTTAGTGCTGCGCTCAGCAATATTCCAGCTGTGTGATGGCAGTCTGTAGATAATCAAGTCTGAACCAGACAAAACAGCGACTGACATCATGAGCATCGATCTAAGCAATATAAGGATACGGTGACATGCAATCAACCAAGTCTATGAGCCTGACCACCCAATCCATTTAGTTGCCGCTTACAACAAGCATAAGATGCTGAGGACCTATATTCATACCTGGAATCCCCACATGTGTGTGTAATAATTAATCTGATTTCACATCAGTAATGTCCAAGCTTACACACATGTCCAAGGTGGGTAAATGTATTTGACACATATATGACATATACCATAATTTCCCGTAATAAGTGCCCTGTACACCAAGAAAATTGACAAAGGGGGCTGCTTATTAAAACCATACGCCATGAGAGATCAAGCAGCAGTGAAAAAAGGTTAGTTCAAACATTGATGAAACCATCTTCCCGAGGCAAGAGAGTAACTGACTATAAACGTCCAGTTTCCACCCTTACCGAACTAGGCTGTAATAGGCTGTATTATGGAGTTACATTTTGGCTGGACTAACAAGTCTATGCATAGTCCAATCAAAATCGCGCACCGAAATCGAAATACGGTTCGTAAACTGTCGTGCAGATTTCGGTCGATTGCAGGATTTGCAAAACATGTGCACCGCCAACTCATCAGCAGATATTTTCCGTATCTTTGTCATGTTTTTAATCAAGGTGCTCACGTGATTTGATGCATTTCGCGATGTAAGACCCGTTTTATCACAATATAGATCTTGATTATCGATCAGATCGTCCTGACTGGGTGCCACCATTTTGTGTGAAGCAAACGCAAGTGATACAAGAGGTACGTGGAATCTGAATGGTCCATAGGAGAGGCTTAGAAGGGACATAACTGGTAATAGTCACTGGTGGCGCTATGATCGAGCCAAGTAATTCCAGCCTAGTTCGACAAGGGTGGAAACTGGACTTTTAAAGTCAGTTAACTCTCTTGCCTCGGGAAGATGTGATGAAACTAAACTTCTTCTTTTATAATAGTTACTTGGCAATTATATATCCTTTCTAATTGCTGTTTTCTTTTTTTAAATATCTGTGATATACACAATATACACTGTCGTGTCAATTCTTTTTATTCCAGTTTTATTACTTCATTTGCGGATATACCAATTCAAAACATCCCAAATATGAAACAGAATTTTAAGAAAAGCTTTTTATCTGCAAGTTGATTTTTTTCAAGTTAAATTAGATTGATATGAAAATGAAACCTTTTCCCATATTTAATGCATGACACTCCAAGCAGTATGTTTCTTTTATGTTATGTTTTGTCATTCCACTCTACCAACCATATTTTAAAAGAAATCATTCTAAAATGTTTTGCAAATACTACTTGTCTTTCTTGTATTTCAAACACAAACCCTATGGTTTTTGAGAAAAATAACTGTAGAACAAGTAATAAAACAAAGACGAGGGGATAAAGAAGATATAAATGAATAATGAAGGAATATTGTCAGCTGATGGGACTAAAGCTACCTTCATTCCCTGCCAGCGAGAGATGGCTCGGAGAGGTCGGATGGCTCGTAAGGTTCTCAGTGATCTAAAAGCTGCAATATTTGATACTCCCAGAGACTCGGCTATCAAGCTGACGATTGATATCTGAAAGGAGAAACATATTTAGGATAGAAGATAAAATGACATTTCAACACAATAACAGTGGTACATGATAGAAATCATATACAAAGGTGGTGTGGAATTTTCCTAAATACAAGAAGATTTATCAGACAATATCATTTTGAAGTCATTTACAAGTAGCAATCATCATGAAAAAGTAATAATAATAACTTGATGAGTGAGTGAGTGAGTGAGTGTGTTGGGTTTAACACCGCTTTTAACAGTATTCCAGTTATATCGCGGCGTGTCAGCTTAATGTGGGAGAAAGCCCGAAGTGATGCAGGTCTTAGATCTTTACCACTTCGGTGAAACCCATGAGCACGGGTATGGTGCTGACAAACCTAGAAAAATTGGGGTGAACCGGGATTCAAACCCATAATCATAGGTTTCTGGCGTGCCCAAGAGACGCAACTCTGCACAGCAAATAGCGGCACCTTAGACGACTGGGCCACTCGTGAGTTAATAATAGGCCAGCATGTTGCAAAATAATCTAATAAGGCGAGACATAATTAATTTCTTGTATACATTTGGTTTTGAAGAATTTGCAAATATGCAGGAGACGGCAAAATAAAAGTTCACAAGGTTAATTTTATTTTTTGTTGTTTGTTATTTTCATTCAACACCACACTCGCAGTATTCCAGCAATATCATGATGGCATGTAACTAATCGAGTCTGAACCAGAAAAAAACGTGATTAATATTAGGAGCAATATCCCATGCCATTGGGTTTCATTGACAAGTAATCAATCAATCAGTCTACTAACAGAACTTAAGCTCTCACCATCACTCCCATCATTCAAGGCACATCTTTTGACCTACCTTTTCAAACAGTAATATTTAGTCTAAATTCAACACCCCTCACCCCAAACCATGACTTTTTCCTTGCTGTAGTATAATCTGCTTCAACGTATGTAGCGCCATAAACATTGGTGAATGGAATCTGGCGCATTATACATGGACTTGTTATTGTTACTATTAAGTACAGATTAAAATAAAAAATGCAGCAAAGAGGGTTTGGGTGATGTTGTAGAACCATGCTACACATACTGTTGAATCCGGACTTCAAGTAATAGCAGACAAACACCTTTTAGGGCGACTTGGTTTACTTGGATGACTTCATGATGTTACAGGTAGAAGTGCAAGCACGGGAAGATAATCATACGCATAGACTAATTACATAACTGGTTACGTAATTCTGATTCGCTAACATTGATGCGCTATGAGCGATAAATGAGTATTACAACAGGTGATCCTGGCAAAGTCAGGCTGGTTAGGCTCATCATCAGCTCAGGATCCTTGCCCCCTCAACACGCAGCCCAGACAGCAAATGGGACTTCTCCCAGGAAGAGTTGCCTAGTTGAACCCACCAAGAACTTTTCGGAGAATGTGAAGACTCCCCAACACTGCAGCCTTTTGCATTACCCAGATTGTCAGAAGGGCTGTATTCCTGGTAGCAAACCCGGGTACTCTCCCGATGTCAGTCAACAGATTGGGAGGTACCAAACCTAAGCCACCAAGAACAATGGGGAGTCGGACAACTTGGTACTCGGGATGCAAGCATGATATTTCGAAAGCGAGGTCCGCATATTTGCCATGTTTTTCCTCAATCTTGTCAATCACATTAGAGTCAAAAGGGACAGAAAATTCAATGATATAAATGATTTTATTGGATTTATCCAAAAAGACAAGATCAGGTTTGTTGGCCTGTATACGTCTGAGGCTGTAAATGGGCCTATTCCAAAGAATTTTGTATTTATCATTTTCCAGGACACCCTCTACATATTCTGGGTCTTACCATGGATGGACCTATGTCAAAACCACAAGCATGGTATTATGATGATGATGATGATGATGATGATGAGGGTTAGAAATTGGCACAAGTCCTTTAGTCCTTGCAAATCTGCCCAATAGTTAAGGTATCATAAGGACTAGTAGATATTTGTCATTTTTAGGGGTTTTGCTATATATTATCATTATAAGGACTAGTGGACCAAAAATGTTAGTTTCTACCGCTGATGATCCAGATTTGATAACAAATACGACTGCAGATAGATATCCACCATGCTTTTACATCATGATACAACAACACACCACTAATGCTATGACTATATAAGCACACCCTTACCAGCACAATGCAGAAGTCCAATATGGTCCAAAAACTTGTGAAATACTTGTGCAAGCCGTAGCCGAACATCTTTATCAACATTTCCGCCGTGAAGAGAATACAGAAGATGATGTTCAAGTAATACAGCGCCAACTTCAATGAAGGTTTTTCATCAAGAGTCACATCCTCAAACGCCTGAAATAAGATCAAACCCACGTTGACAAATGAGTCCAAATGATACTGAGGGACAGATCAATTGCCTCAGGTCTTGCAGAAAGAACAAGAACTGTTGTGTGGACACGTTGGATGTCATGAAAAATAATGTTTGTAAAAACAACATTATTTGGCTTCTCATCGGTTTAGGGATGAAAAAATGCTGATGTGACGTTAAATTTTAACTCACTCACTATTTGGCTTCTCCAGACAGATAAAAAACTGCATGTTTTGAAATAATAAAATAAAAAGTATATCTAACAACAACAAAAACTCCCCCCAAAATACTATATGGATGGTTACTACAAGACTTTCAGAATACCCATCATCAATATTTAGACACTAAATTTATGACATGACATTGGATGCTGAATAATTAACACTTTCTATAAAGAGAGCAAATTTAGCACTAAATACTGAAGTGAGTCTAGGAAATGATATGAAATATTGATGTATTGATAAAGATGCACCAGTTTTAACCACATTGGACACTCACCAGAGTAACGCTACTTGCAAAGATGACGAGCAGAACAGCTGTCTCAAATATCTTGTTGTCGGCCACCTTTACTAAAAACCTCCTCATGCTGTACCACCGTGATGGCTGATCGTACTTTGACAACCACGGCATCCTGCAGGGAGGAAACAATTTGTGTAAGCTTCTTTCATATATTCATAAAATATTTAATTAAAATTAAAACATCCCCTTATCCCTCAGGCAAGAGTTCCTGGCTGAATTACCCAAGGTTAATACAACAAAATTCTTAACTCTTTTGCATATGAGGCTGCTCAGGTCTGGAACAGCCTAATAAATTCTGTAAGACTATCTTATGTAGAGTTCTGCAGACGGTCCCACATGCACTTGATCAGTATGCCGATGACTCAGCTTTGAACCCATCAGTTCATGTATTTATTTTGTATTTGTATCTCCTATCCAGGGTTAGAAATTGGCACTAGTCCTGTAGTCCTTGCCAAACTGCCCAATAGTTAAGGTATCATAAGGAATAGTAGAAATTAGCCATTTTTAAGGGTTTTGCTATATGTTATCATTATAAGGATTAGTGGACAAAAAATGTTAGTTTCTACCACTGCTATCCATCTTCAGTTACCTTTCTCCTCATCTTTCCATTAATTCATGCTCTGTGTGTACATTCTCTTCCATGTTTTATTTCTGTTTTGTATATTTTTCAAACTGTTTGGTCGTAAATATAACTTCTTAGCGAATGTTGTTTGTACTAAAATATCTGATGTTAAAGAAAGCTTCTTGTATCTTGCATTTGACCAATATCCTCAGCTACAGAAATACTGACTTAACAACTCATAACTGAACAGCTAGCTGAGAACAGTTTGGAAAACAAGGGGGATAAAATCTAGATTTCTGAGAGCTAGTGTCCTTATTCATTTCACTAGTCCTCCAAACCTTCACGAGCCACAAGCTAACCATTTAGTACACAGTATATATTTCTAACTGTTCATTCGTTCATGCTTATAAAAAATGTACTATTGCTGAAAAGTAACAAAATATATATTAATCCAAACTTTCTTCTTCCATACCCTTCATAAGAAAAACATTTGGTCTGGGAACAGTATTGGACAACTAGGAAACATAATAGGTGATACGTGATAGCACAAGTGCATTTTGACTATAAGTAGCAATTGAATAACTCACATTTTTACTTTCATCCTAAACTCATTTTTACCCTAAACAACTATTCATACAGAACTCATCAGAAACAACCCCATTTTGTAACTTCTTTGAAAGGAATTTACAAGTTGGAGTATCAAGTAAGGATAAGATATATGGATGAACAACTTCTTTATTACAACTCGGAGCGATCCCTGATGTTTGGGTGTAAGTTCTTACACTGTTATGGATCCCCACTAGCAACCATAATTACAGAGATTTTTATGACCAACCTAGAAGAAAAAGCCCTGGAAACATCCCCCATAACACCCCTCTGCTGGTTCCACAAAGTAGATGACACCTTTGTCATCCTACATCCCAACAGAGCCCTACTGGACCACCAAACTCCCCAAACCCACAAATGCAGTTCACCATGGAAGAAGAATCCAATTGCCTTCTACCCTTCCTTGATGTACTTGTACAGAAAGACAATAACAACAAGCTCCAGGAAGCCACAGGAAGACCACCATCGAGCCAACAGCAAGAACCATCAGGAGCAGTGTACCACATTCCGTGTAATTGTGGACAAACTTACATTGGCAAAACTTCAAGGCCCCTCAAAACCCGAAATTACAGAACATCAATCTCAGTTTCCAAAATTGATTCTATCAGACCATATCCATGACAACCCACAGCATCCAGAGGGACAAAATCAAAGCCCTTAGAGCCAAACTCAAAGACTTCAAAATCAGAATACTCCAAGAAGTCATCAGCATCAAAGACACACACCATAAATCAATGGTGATCAATGCTATTACATAGCCCCTGCGTACCATCAACTCATCAAAGACTCCGATCAGTCATTATCCTATTGTTCATACTACTGACTTCACCTGTTACGATGTTTACCTTATATCACCAGTTTGTGTACATAACAGGCTTGTCCACATCATTGTAACTACATGCCAATCTACTCAACTGTATAACACCAGCTCATACCTGTATATATGCTTGTGACCATACTCTGTTCATCACTTCCTTGATAATGGTGTAAGAACCTACACCAAAATGTCGCTTCTAATTGCAATAAAGAAATTGTTCATCCATATATCTTATCCTAACTTCACCCCATTTTGGTTGAAATTTAATTGTTTCATGTATAGATTAAAATAATAATCTATAAATACTTCTCATAAGTATAATGAACATGTAAGTGTAAAGGCCCTATTCCTTATTAACCCACCTTTTTGCAAGGATTTTGGGCATGCAGTTGAACACTACAACTTCATTCTTCTTAAGTGAGGATGCAGTATCTCCAAGAGCAAGGCCATCTTCATCTACACCATTCTTCTTCCTTGCAGCCTCTGCTTGGCGAGCCTCCTCAAAGCTTGAAAACTGAGCCCTCTTTTGCGAGGTATCAAATGCTTCCTGGGCCTCCTGACAAATAAGACACAGGCACCATGGAATTATCAACTTTCACTCAGCTGTAATGTTAAGGTTTTTATGTTAGGATTACAATGTACTGTAAATACATAGCTAAACAGTTAAAAGAAATAAGTGGGAGTAGAGTAGCCTTGTGGGTAACGCATTCACTCCTAACACCGAAGGCCTAGGTTCAATGTGTGAAATCAATTTCTGTGTGCCCTGATTTGACATTGCTGGGATATTGCTAAAAGTGGCTTAAAACCATACTCAAGACCAAATAGGAAGCTTCTACTTGCACTGATTCACCAGATAACACAACATAGCACTTTCCAAGCATATTTATTACCGCCTCCGTGGTCTAGTAGCAGAGCGTCCGCCCGGAGAGCGGAAGGTCCGGGGTTTCGATCCCCGGCCGCGTCATACCAAAAGACGTTTAAAGATGGTACTTGTTGTTACCCGGTCTGGCGCTCGGCATTAAGGGGTTAAACAAGGACTGGTCGGCTTGGAGTCAGTATACTGTGTCTGAGTGGGGTATTCATGTTAAACTGCGGCATGGTATCTCAGTGAGCTAGCACTATAAATCGGCATCAGTCCGGACTAGCACAAGCAGTCACACACACACGTACATGCACGTCGCTATATAAGTGCAAAAATGTTGGACGCGACGTTAAACCCCATTTCACCTCACCTCACCTCCAAGCATATTTGTTGTATATGTGTCTGTTTGTTATATCAAGAATCTTATACCTTTACATGTTGGCTTTTGACAGAACCATTTGACTGGGTTTTCTTTGTATCTTCAGATTTAGTACTAACTCCATTGGTAGAAGGTTTGGCATCAGCATCAGCATCAGCATCTGAAAAATAACAAGGGTCTAATGATCACCAGAAAGTACAAAAAAGAATATCCTTGGCTTTCACTCACCTGTGCATTAAGATCATAGTCTGTGACTATAGCCACTTGTTCGAAGTCTGGTCTGGTAAGATGTGGTTTGGTCTAGTAAGGTCAGCTAATCATGCTCAATATATATGAACACTAAAATCGACTGAAATTGATGCCAAAAGACAAGTTTAGTCAAGGAGATTCAAATGTTTTTGGCACAGAACACACCTTTCCTGAAAATGTTTTTATTTCCTGTCATAAAGTGAATTCATGCTACTAGTTTTAGTGTACTCCAGCATACAGAATGATAAACTAGCACTTACTTTTAATCTCCTTTCCATTTTCATCAATGTCTATTACATTCGTGGAATCTTCCCCTGATGCCTTGCCATTCTTCTTGGGTTCTATGGCATTTATATTCTTTCCCAGGCAGCAACAACAAAGACCTCGGATTCTTTCCCAAGCCAGCTTCAGCCGGGATTCCTCCTGGTTTGTTTCTTTGTGTTTGCGAATTGAGTCAGTAGCAAACGCATTCAGTAACAGAGCCAAAAACAGATTCAGGACCTGAAAGATCAAGTATGATTACATGTCAAAGAATCTATCTATCTGACTGGCCAGGTGACCATCCCATAGGAATATCATGATGTCATATGCTACACATAACATCACTTGCATGTCACATCACAACTGACCTTGTTCACACTTACATAACTAAATCTAGGGGCTAGAATAAAATTTGTTACATGTGTCACTAGCAGAGTGTACTGAATTTTACAAGCTAAGGGTCTTATCATACCTCCATGTCAGAATGATGAGATCTGATTGGTCCACGTGATCTTGATAAAAAAAACCTGTGTATCCCACCTTGGAGGGGAATAAATTTCTCAGCGAATTTCTTATACCCCGCCACGAGCAAGTCAGGCTGCACATGGATTCAAGGGGTAGAATAAATCCCTTATGCCCTGCTTCCAAGCAAATAGCGGCACACTTTTTCCGAGTCAATGGAAGTCACGTGACATAGCGCAAGCTAACTGCAGCTCAATCGAACAGCTGTTTTCTTCCAATTTTGAATTTGTTTGAATTCTTTTACAATGTCAAACATTAAACATAAAACTCGGGGTACATGGGGGTTTAAGCGTTCCGCATTAGGTTATTTGCCCTGTGAGAATTCAAGTGTTCAGCATGGATTTGATGTGTGGCTACAACCTGGAGACAATCTTCCTATTGTTTACGTTGCATTGAGAGGTAATATGGTACAATGTATTCAGTATTGTGCTGTACAGGCATTTCTCCCCTTTCTAACTTACGATGAAGTAGCCGAGCACGAGAGCAGGCAGGAAGACAACCATGCAGAGTTCATTGTTGGCTTTCATGCAGGCCCACAGCGGCTCAATCCATTCTCCACACAGCACTCGGAATATCATCATCAGAGCATGTTGAATGTTGTTAAAATTCCATCTCCTAGAAAAGAAACATGCTTTAGATACTGCATACACACTACTCTTTTACTGATCAAATGCATCAAACACATTCTACAATCAATTTTGAAATTACTTGATTCTGATTGGTCAATCAGAGGTAGCAAATCACAATAACCTCTGATTGAAATAGACCATTTGACAGCTGTGTTTAAGGCACATTCACAGTTGAGTGATCTCAAAGTCTACATAGTCTGAGTGGCTGAGCGAGTGAATAAATGTTTTATTTACACTAGATAATTACACCAATTAACTAAAAACCAGTGTATTCACATCAACCATAGAGTCTGAATCAGACATCCAAGTGATTGATAGCATGAGCAACTATCCACATAGGTGATGACCCATACAGGTCACACAGTTGATCCAAGCATGGAGTACAAGGACCTATTCTGCCCTGGAACGTTCATGCAGTAAAGTTATAACATGTCTCACGGTGGAGGGTCTGGGGCAAACTTTTCTGGTGTGTAGGTTGACATAAACAGCTGCAGTCCAGTTACAGCAAAGATGTAGATAATGATAGCCAGCACAATGGTTAGGTTTCCAAGGGCACCCAGAGTGCTCAAGATGATTGACAGCAATATTCGCATTGTTGGCCAGGACTGTGCAAGCTTGAACACCCTGAGCTGTAGAAATACAAAAGCACACACAAATTTAACAGAAATACCAAAATATGATAATTTGTCTGGCTCTTATACAACGAATTATTGTATAAAACTTGTAAATGTTTGTCTTTAGGATTGCACAGTATTACCAGTATACTTCAAGATGCTTGTCATATGATACGTATTGCAATATATTTGTAATATTGGGTAAAGCAAACGAAACAAGTTTTGTCATTATTTGTATCGTTTAACCAAAAATCTACACAGAAATTCATTCACAAATTGTGGAAATGCAGAACTGATTTTTCTCTCACATTTGTATTCGCCCTGTATGCATCTTGGCAAAATGTTGGCGACTGACCATGCTGAATGATATTCACTTCAGTATGTAGAAAATAGGATCTGCATGTACAATCAGTGTCAATCAGTGTCAAACACTTTAGCTCCCAATATATCACAATATGTATCGCACACAGCCCTATCTGTCTTACTAAATATAATTAACAAGCATTTGTAAAACTTACCAATCTGAAGGTCCTAAAGACAGAGAGACCATCTACTTCTTCAAATCCTAAATCTATGATACTGGCGATCACAATGATCAGATCAAAGATATTCCAGCCACTCTTGAAGTAATACTTGTTGAGAGCAAACAGTTTCAAAACTGCCTCAAAAATGAAGACTGCAGTAAACACCTGAAACGACAAATACTTACTTATATTGGACCGCAAACACAGATAGCCTCTTATTCATGTTCTGGACAAAATAATTGATTGTTTGTTTGTTTGCAGTATAATGCCAAACTCAACTATCTTCCAGCTGTAAAAAATCAAATCTGGACCAGACAAACCAGGGACTGATATCATGAACAATGTCACACTATGTCAGGATACAATTAAAAACATCAACTAAATAGGAATTAGTTGTTTGAGGTCCATGATCCAGACAGTGCAAGTTTAAGTGCACAGCCTTTGGATTGGGATACAATGGCATGCATCAACCTAGTCAGCAAGCCTGACAAGCCAATCCAGTTAGTTGCCACTTGTGACATGCATGGGTTGATGAAGACCATATCTATGCTCTTCATGGCCCAGTGATGTAGTGCAGGTAACAATGTGTCCTGTCTCACCTGTTCTGGTAGGGGGTGAGACTTGCAATGGTGTGAACCTAATCCATAAAATCGCCTTGTACAACAAGCAGAGCTTGCTGACGACCAGTTCTAACCCAGTATCCCCACAGGGTATTTGAACAGAACACAAACATTCTTGCAACATCGAGTCATCGGCCCATTGAAAATAAGTAATCATACAAATAGTTAAAAAAGACTCACATAGTTTGCAACTTTGATAAGGACGTTCATCTGTTCTGACTGCCCATGCTGTTCCAGGGCCATGATGATAGTGTTGAGGACGATACTGAGGGTGATGAACAGGTCAAAGAGAGGGTCACTGATGAAGGCGTAGACCATGCCCTCCGCGCGGAGCAGGGGGATGAAACACTTGCAGCAGCTATGGCAACATTTACAGTTTCTGTCCACAAGTTCGTTTGGGCCGGGAACAATGTCAGGGTCTTCATCCGCTGAAAGTTAACCAAGGGAAAACTAAATACCTAAAGACTGTAACAATGATTTCACTTAACCTGAAACTATACACTGCATTCTAAGCATATATCACTGAAAATATTGCAGTACTATTGAGAGAAACATACTATTTCTGCTCTCTCTTTCAACCAATATCTCATGCTTGTTTATAGAGAATTCCAGATAATGAAAGTGACAGTTAACAAGAAGTTTGTTGTACACTGACTTGGAACCTTTTTTAATCCGATGATTACTGTTCAAAGTGAAATTGTCAGGATTAACAATTTCCAGATTAATGAATCCTGATTACTGAGTTACGTCTGTTTTATGTGCATGTACATAAGCATTCCTCATAGCAACCTTCCAGGCTGTAGGGTTTTAGTAATAATGGGTACCGGATCAACAGGGATTTTAAATAAAAAAATTGGAAGAGCAGAACTCTATAAGATTGTTTTCCTCTTTTTAACTACCCCACACAGCTGATTGAAATGGGGACCAGGTTCTCAATGCATGACCTGGCAGGTGTGTCATATCGAGCCGACGTTGGTCATTGCTCATGCTCTACTACACAGCTACTTGACATGTGTATTCCAGTTTTATATTACACCTTTGTTGTGTTACCTGTATAGCTTCTCAAAAGAAGCAACCAGTCACAAGAAGTTAACTAACAATGCTGATAAACTGTAGATCTATATGTTCTTCGATCTTAAAGACCATCCAAACAGGTGTTCATTTTTTTTCAGCTACATATATTATGCTGACATAATTTGTCATTTGGGCACTTGAGATAATAATCTGTCTGGTAATTTGAACAATCTGTGTTGGTCTCAAAATCCTCCTACTCACGTTCCAAAACTCCAGGTCCTCATTAACATGTGCATCAGGTTCCAGAAAAAAATACAACCACAATTTGAACACCTCAATTACGGGTATTCAGTTACATGAAGCTCCTTTACAGGGTAGTGAGGAGGACATTATTTCACATATGTGACAATGCTTGCTGACAGTTGAGGCATTAATTTCAATGTGGATATTTAAAAGGTTGACATACTTCAACAAACTGGCAGTAAAATACTCTAGATTACTCTAGAGCTCATGACAGCTTAAATTTACATTTTGCTTTTCTTCCTTCTTACTGGCTTATTTTGCAGTTGTTTATATATTTCAGAGACCACATACTCTATGTTGTATCTGTACCAGTCTACCACACCCATGTTACCTAACACAAGTATTATACAATTTGAAACAAAACACAACACTGAATACTTTCTCCATGTAACATTCTTATAATCAGGGAGAATAAAGATTCACTTATTGTCATGAATCCTTGATGATGATGGTTAAGTTCACCTGACTTGTCACCTGTGCACAGGACCATGCACCACCACATTTTAGAGAAAGTATTCAGTGTTGTGTTTTGTTTTAATTTTTATATAGGTTATTATTATTATTATTGGGAATAAGTACCTTTGATGATAACAACACTTGTCTCGTTGTTCTCTTCAAGGCTGTTTAGCTCACTGATTGTGGACTCTCTCTCCAAAATCACACCTGATGAAGACACCTAGATAACAAAACAATACTGTTACAACAGAAACAGGCAGGTATCTGTACAATATCCGATCTCAATTCACTATTCACTCTGAAAAGAAGTGGAATACATATTTCAGAACTTGGACATCATACACATCCAAATTATTACTGAAATAATGTCATATAAATTGCATTTCCATAATATGTCAGTGTATCATCCTCACTTAATGCATATAAAGTATTAACAAATGTGAAATATTTACCCCTTATCCTATCCAGTATGACTTTTATCAGTTAACTGATATCCAAAGCTCTCTTTATCTTCTACTTGTTTTGTTTGTATTTGTTCAATGCCACATTCAGCAATATTCCAGCTGTGTGACAATGGCCTGTAAATAACCAAATCTGGACCAGACTATCCAGTGATTGTTATTTTGAGCAACGATCCACTCCATCAGGGTATGATGACACTCTATCAACCAAGTCACCAAGCCTGACCACCCAATCCATATGGCTGCCTCTTACAACATAGGCCTCTATTTTAACCCAGAATTCCACAGGGTTCTTCTACTTGTAAACCATTCTGAGGCTCTTCCATTTCAAGGAGGGACATCAATAAGTCTATTGGGGACATTTGTCTTTAACAAATGTTTCAAAAGGAAGTCCTAAGAACTCCAAAGTAAATCCATATTTTTGTCAAGTTTTGTGAGGGAATAATGGGACCTAATATATAAGATGCATTGTATGAAACTGAGTTAAAGTTTCGTTGTACCTGTTCCCAGTGTTTGAAACATAAAAAATTGCCAGGCTGCCATCAGAACCCACACACTTCAGAAGTTGCAGGCCCCGCTTTACTTTAGTGTGACAAATAAATAGACATGTAAATGTACTGCAGGCCATAAGGACCCATTCAAATTTGAAACTACAGCCAGACACAAGATCTCCCTGAAACAGGCCTACAGGCCAGTGCTTATTGCGAACACTTCCTGTGCCAACAATGGCCTCATCAGTATCAGTTAGTCCAATGTGTGGCATTAGGATTTCCCTATGTCTAAAGGCTACACTATCCCATTGCTTAAGACCTTGGAGACTAAAAGTCAAATCATCAAAGATACAGCATTATTCATCAGTCAAAAATAATTAATTCATCAAAGTCGATTGGGAGTAGTGCCATAACTCCATTACTGACCTACATAATGCGTAAAACAAGAAATTATTTGGTCTACTTAACTTCACTTCAAATGAAGTCATTCAAATGATTCCAAGGATGTAGACTTACTATAAAATTTTTTTTACAAAATTTCAACAATACTGGTTAACCAATAGCATTGTTCGATTAAAAATATTTTAAGAAGTAAATGAAATATTAATGAAGCTATAGAACATCCCGACCCAGAACCCGACTTACAACATCATAGGTTGTATGTTATGTTTGTCATGTCATTTTAGCTGACACAGCAACACAGCTATACTAATACCGATAAAATATTATTTCTTTACAAAAAACACACCTACATAACTACATGCAATATACACACCCTAGTTGTATTTCAATATTGAATCTTTAAAAATGAATAAATGAACGCATAGTTTGCACCTTGTGCCCATCAACCCCCAGGAGACACTTTATCTACTAAAGCATATTGCACTCTGGTACTCGGTATCAGACTGAGTATTGATTGTGTGTGTGTACATAAAATGGCAAGGACAGCAAGTCTTCATAATTCAGTATCTAATTGAATCCACCTGGCCCATATATGTACATGGTGTGACCGATGCCTGTTTGTTGAGGGTGTAGTTCAAATACTCACAAAGACATCACAGAGATCATATGAGTGTAAATTTGCCCGTTCCAAAGAGTGAGTTTACACTACTAATCCCTCCCACGGAACAATGCCTATCTAGGGAATACCATTATTGATCTGCAACAGTTGAGAAAACAAATACTTATAAACACTGATGCTTCCTACGCCAAGGAATGTGATAACTTGTATTGGCTATCAGAATTATCACTTCCTAATGACCAGCAGCTTTTCATTCCTTAGTGATGTATCAAAAACTTGAATTCCTTGAAAAATATTTAAATAGCTGTCTGTTGTACTTTGCCAAGTGTGTGTGTGTGTGTGTGTGCGTGTGCGTGCGTGCGTGCATGCGTGGGTGTGTGTGTGTGTGTGCGTGCGTGCGTGTGCATGTGTGTGTCCAAGTTGTAAATTCACTGTGCCACACCAGAAACTTTTGATTGTGGATTCAGATCCCCAAATACTCGTGTTCAAAAATCACAAAAATAAAAGCAATTGGTCATATGAAGCCAATCACGTTGCAGAACACTACCTTACCCAGAATTCCTTGCAGCCAACCTTGTACCTCGTCACTACAATTTACACTGGCCAATAAACAGTGCATATGTTTTCATCTATTTTTGACGAGTCTACACTTTCAGATAAACATATGTCATGAAATTTATAACTTTCAGTCAGTAAATATCCTAAAGTGTGAAAAACTATTTCCATTTGCTTATTTATCCTTTGTTTGCATTGCTCTCGGAACAACATAAGAAGAGACAAGTAACCTTGTGGGTTATCGGCTATTGTTTGCAAACAATGTTTAAAAATGGTTGACATATCTGCATTACCGTATTCTACATAATAAGCGCCCAGGGCGCTCTCAAAATAAGAAATAGGGGGCTCTTATTAGAATATTATTTTGACAAAAAACACGAGTTGAAAGATTGTTAATTTCTTGGTTTTTGCTGACAGCCCGAAATGTTTATATACGACAGATATATTTTTCCAGAATTGAATTGCCCATAATTAAGGGTGCATATAACACACAAGTGCGTATTATACAGGAATAAATTTAAGTCTTGTGTACATTGATCAATCGGAAGGGGTGCTAATTGGGATTGTTCACTTGCCAATATATTAGCAATATCACCGTGGGTGCTTATTAGAGCGGGGTGCATATTACGTTGAATACGGTATTTAACATGAAACACCAACACATCCATCCTACATTCAGCATATTTCTTGGGAAGTTAAATTGGGGACTTTAGGATGTACCACGTAGTCTGATATTGATTTATGAATGAATACATCCACATGTATCTTTGAGCAAGGCATAGTTAGAATCAAAACAAATGTAAATGAATGATTAACAGTATTCCATTGATTGTGTTACATTCATCAACACTATGGATAGTGTAGCTTGTATTGTCAACTATTGATATTTTAACTTGTCATGCATGTACTATGTATTGCCATTGAGACATGGGACAATTGTGATGCATTGATAATTCAACAACCATTACACAGTGTTCGAAATTAAATTAAAGGTCTTTGAAGGTTTTCCTGCAACAGTAGTTGAATCTAGGAGTGCCCCCAATTTTTCAGTTTTATCAGTAGGGTTATGACAAGGACCCCATTACACTCTTTGTCTTTATTATGAACACTGATTACACCCCTACTTCTTCAACTCCAGATATATTGCTTAGTCTGTCATTTAGGCCCTGAAAGAAATATATCCTATACAGCCCATGCAAGTCTATGACAGTTAGCAAGTCTAGATTACTGTCATACAGACACTGAAAAAAATATATCCAATACAGCCCATGCAAGCTTTTGATGGTTAGCAAATCTAGATTACTAGTATTTCTAGTTGATGTACACAGATGCCTTGAACAGTTTGCTCAAAACTATAACTAATATAATGCCTCCTGCCCACCTTAAACTAATAACTAATGTATTGTGGCCTAGCTATTCTCTACCCTTGGTGCCAGTGCCCAGATGAACCACCAACTTTGGATACAATGAACAGGTCCCTTGGTGTTCGTTGCCTCAGAAGTTGACTATGTGTAACGTAAGCCATGATAAATTGATAATGAGATCTTAACTCCCTCATGTCTCCATTGTCTTAATGAATCCTGATAGCCCTGTCAGCCCTGCCTCTGTAACCTAAAGATGGCTTGTTCAGAAATAGTAGGCTCAATTTCACAGAAAGAAATTTAAAAAAACTTTAATGAGCCTATGAGGAATTTGATAAAAATCTAACAACATATTCATTTTGACCTTATAGCTTTCATCCTCTCTATCTCCTGGGGGCTTAGTTCGGTGGACCTACACTCCTCCTGGATCCATTCCCTTGGTTCTCGTGATCTCAAAATACCCGCCTTTGATTTTCATCAACATTTTACCAACCAATGAAACGTTGAGGTAAGGAAAAAGGAACTAGAACTTGCCACCGCTAGTTTTAATGGACATAAAGGCATCCTTTCCATCAAACAGATTTTTTAAGGCTTCCTTTTGTATGTCAATCAATTCTATCATAATCAATGGGACTGACTGCCATGTTTTTTATATCGCCAACCCAATGTTAAGGCTGGTTTGTAACTCACATTTTGATTGGTCCGTTACACTGAGTACCGTAGCAAATCAGATTGGCTAATGAAAATCAAGGGCGGGTAACTTGAGATTGTTGATCCACAGGAAAAGACAGTGTAGGTTCACTGAAATGTGAACCCTATAGATATAGATGATGTAGAGCTTTGAACTATGACCAAACTGTAAGTGAGTGAGTGTAAAATACCCCCTTAAACTGTCTATATCAGTTGTATCATGGCTCGTCAGATTAATGTATTATTGACTGCAATGTTAAAATAACTCTGAAATTAACAAAATAAGAACTTGTTTTTATAATCCAAAGTGTCAGCAATATTACATTTTCCCTCAATTTGCCTGCCAAGGGTTTGGAATCCTAGATAAATCCCTGATATGTTGCTGAAAAACCAAGTATCATCACTAGGCTGCATCAATGATTTCAAATCCATTATCAGCTGTTCCTGGTATGGCAAAGGGACACTACTCTCCACACATATTGCAGTTAGTGCCTGAGACAACTAGCCCATGTGCACCCCCAAAAACTCTGAAAGGAGAATGTTATAGACACAACCTTCCAACACAACAGCTACATAATCATGGTAACTGGAAACTCAAACTTGTTAGTTTATATGCAGTTAATATATTCAAAAATATTATAGAAGAAAATAGATAGAGGGAAAGAAGATGCATGCATGGTTACTAAATACAGCACTGACAAGATATAAAATACATATTTTTGGTAAGACACAGCCATGTATAAATATATGGTTGTCAAAGAAATCAATTGTGTTTTATGTCATATATATGTTGCTATTTAGTATAAAGTTTGAAACACATCTCACTACAAAAAATAGTAACATTAATGCATGGGAATGTTTTTGTGCATATGCTCACAACAATATCTGTTTATACGATGAAAACATAGCTCAGATAATTAAAAAAAATATATATTACTCAAAAGAAGGTAAAGAACACCTGATTCTTTTATATTACTAAATATGAAAGAATTGGGTGTTCTTTAACTTCTTTTGAGCTGTATATATGCCCAGTAGATTTATTATACTGAAAATATGAATTAACATATTACTGTGTGCATTAAGGCTTTGTCAAGTTGAAAAAGAAAGAGTTTCAAAATTGACAATTGACTGTATTGACTGCATTTAAATAATAATGTTCTGTGAAAATGAGAAATGAGAGTTGGATGTTGTGTAGTGCAACAGATATAGTGGAGACTATGCTACATGCCAAATGACACACAATGAACACAACCAACACAACCAACAAAGCAACACAGAGGTGTACTCACTTTCAAAAATCCCTGCAATTTGCACAAAACTCTTTCGGTTAATTAGTCTACTAAATGACTATGTTTCTTCCTCATTTGCATGTATTTTATCATGAATACAGCTACTGTCCATGCTTTCTAGAACACATTCATTGACTTCAGGCATGCAGCCACCACGTTCAAAATCCAATCACCAGTTAGCTTTCCTGAGCATACATCATTGTATATCATTGTGATATCTGCAGTGTACCATTATATCTATAAGATCTTCTCCTATATATATTTGTATCAATTGTGTGTAACTATATATTAAAAAATGCCTAAATTTTGTTAAATCTGTGAAACTTTTAAAAACATGGAAATGTTCATTCTGTGTTGATACATATTGCTTGACAAATTGATTTAATTATCTGTCATCAGATGGTTTAAAAATGTTAAGTTTGACTATTTATTGGTGCTGCATTCATTTGACATTAGACCTCAAAAGTCATTTATTAGCTTTTGTTATTCTATATATATCTTCCTTATGGTTTACGCTCGTCACAACAAAGACCTGGGTTCGATTCCCGACATGGGAACAATGTGTGAAACCCATTTCTGGTGACCCTGCCGTGATATTAAGACTACTGGGTTGTCACTGTCATGACAAAACGAAACAGCGAAAGAGGTGTAAGGCATCAATGTTTCACCTTCTTACATATTTATGAACAAAGATAGAATTACCACCATACATAATTAGATTGCTAAAAACGTCTTATATGGATCTGAATAACAAACTATCATTTAGTATAGATATTGCAATACTAAATTAAATAGGATTTTCTCTTTTAGTTTCCATTTAGAAATTTAAATGTTAAATTCTTTTCACTAATACTTTTTTTTAGATTAGGAGAATGAGTTCAAACAGTTCATGATGCAGTATTAAGACCTTATGATGAAGTATTAAGACCTTATGATGAAGTATTCTGACCTTATGATGAAGTATTCAGACCTTATGATGCAGTATTAAGACCTTATGATGAAGTATTAAGACCTTATGATGAAGTATTAAACTATTTCTATTCTATTAGGGCAAATGAACGAATACAAATTCCTCTAAATGTGTTAATCCTACAAATGATGGTATCCAAAGTTAGTACACATATACATATACATTGTAGTAGCCATTCAAGATTTCAACTATCTTTTCTATTCCATAACACAGGTTCTTACCATTAAATAAAACAACTATTTTTCCTGACAACATATCCCTTGTCAGACTGAAATCTCTAGGTTTACTTACATTACCACGGCTATTCTGCTTGATCAGCATACCCGACTTAAAGGCATAGTTCACGCTGCTGCTAGCTTCACTGTCTGTTTCAGCATCTTCTGGGTTCTTCAGCCTCTCTCTACTGTCCCTATGTTTGAGAACCTTGCTCCCCACAGAACGACTACTGTTCTGACTTCTGGATGAATAGCCACTGTCCTTGCTTGGAATCTTGACCATAGGCTTTTTAGGGTTCACGGGAGGTCTAGGCGTCTTCTCTGGCTGCTTTAATCCTTCTGCTCCTTGTATTTCCATTTTTTTCAATCCAGACTTCTTATCTTTAGGGTTCTTTTTTTCATCAAGTTTTAGTTTCTTGCTTGCTATGGATATTTTTGTTAAGTCGTATATTGGATTTTTATTCATTTTTTTCCTTTGGCTAGCTTTTTCTCGTTCTCTCTCCTGTGAATGGTAACATGCAATGTCTCCTGTGTATTTTCTTCATTTGTTCAGGCATTATTCATACCAAGCTACAATTATCTTGTGTGTACCGTAATCAACACAATGAGCACCCCTAATGTTCAAAAGCGTCATCATGTGTTTCCCCAGCCCTAATTCTTTTAGCTTTGCCTCCATGCTCTTCAGAATCTTTTACCGTCATATAGCTGGAATATTGCTGAGTGCGGCGTTAAAGAACAAACAAAACAAACAGAGCCTTTCACTCACAACAAAACTTGAACGTCCGAAATATTTCCATTTATCCAGCAATAGTGTGACAAAAGATCAATTCAGTTGTTACTGTTAATAATTTTTCATGCACTAAATAAAGTACTTCTTGGGGGATAGATATGTATATCTCTATCTACAATGAACTTAATAATAAATCTTCAAAAGACCCCATATGCTTGATGGTATACCAATTTACTTTGGCTTCCCACGTATTATGTTGATTACGGTATGTGAACTAATTTTTCAAGACAATTAGATGATGGCCATGCTGCATATTTACCACATCACATGCACTGAACAAGCCATGTCAGACACATTTACCATGCAACATTCAAGTGAAAATGATTACACGATGTGCAAATTAGATTAACCTGTAAAAACATAATTCTTCAAGGTGCGCTATCAGTGACTTCAAATGGTTATATACTAAATTACTATTAGCAAAAAATCTCTATATATAATATTTTCAAAATTTTAAAGTTTAAGATAAAAGTTAACATATTTTTTCAAAACAAAATTTTTCAATAAACTTTTTTGTTTGTAACTCTAACCAAATTTATCACAAGCATAAAAAATAATCTCACAATAACCATTATTTTCTGAAAAATATAATTTTCAAGATAAAAGTAAGCATTGCATATTTTTGAACATCATGCTTCTATTAAAGATTTTGTTTTAAAGCATGAAATCATCATGTAACAGACAGAATGTCATTAAGGTGGCAATAACATAAATGACCAACCATCACACAGAACAATCAGCTCTCAGGTAGCTTCCTGAGGCAATGATTGCTCCCTAATCCCTCATTCAGCAGAGATCCTTCAACAAATTTGAATGGTTCTTACCTTCCCAGCACGCACTGCTTCCTCCTCGTAGGACATGGCCACGACAGCCAGCATGAGGTTAATGAGGTAGAAGGAGCCGAAGAATATCACCACAATGAAGAACACCAGATTCCAGGGACCACTAGCTCGGATCACCTTCATGGACAATCAAAATATCATCATTCATCAAAATAATGTATGAGCGAGAATTTTGGAACAACAGAGTGAGTGAGTGAGTTGGGTTTAACGTTGCTATTAACAGTATTCCAGTGATATCACAGGGTGTCAGCTTAATGTGGGAGGAAAACCCGAAGTGATGCAGGTCTCAGACGTTTACCACTTTGGTGAAACCAATGAGCAGGGGTATCTTGCTGACAAACCTAGAAATATAATCATGGCTAACCAAGATTCTAACCCACAATCACAGATTTCTGGCGTGCTCAATGGACACAACTCTGCACAGCAAATTGCAGCGCGTTAGACAACAGAACCACCCAAGCCCCTTCAGAACAACAGAAGAATGCATTAGGGAAAAATAAAGACAACAGGAGAATGCATGACAAATGTATGAGGTAGAGTTTTTAACTGTCAGGAAGGACAGTATATTGTTTCATCACAATAAAAAAATAATAATTCAGCCTCATCATGCTTGTGGAGCAACAACAATAATTGTCTGATCTTGGTCCCTCGCAGAGTGAGAAGATATAAAGTTCCTACCTTATTATAAGTATCCTCCCAGAAGTCCAGGGTGATGAGTTGGAAGGCATTCAGCATGGCCCAGCCAAAGTGGTCAAAGTTTGTATAGCCAGAATTGGGGTTCTCTCCAATGTCAGGTAAACAGGTGTAGTTACTTGGGCATCCTCTGTAGAAGACAGACTATGTGTGTCAGCATAACCTAGATCATTGTCGGTGGAATTAATAAATAAATAAATAATTTAGTTGAAATAAAAGCAATATCTTTGAGTGGTACTTACAGTGAGTGAGTGAGTAAGGTCATATGCTGATTTAAGCAATACCACAGGTGGTACAGAAATCGGCTTCAGAAGTAAAACATGTGTGCTGAATTGAATGAGCTAACGATGTACACACGAAACTATCCCACCACCCTGAGCAGCTACGAAAACTAACAATTTTTGTCCACTAGTATTTGTAATGACAACATATAGCAAAACCCTTAAAAATGGCAAATTTCTACTGGCCCTTAAGATACCTCAACTATTGGGCAGTTTGGCAAGGACTAGAGGACTAGTGCCAGTTTCTACAGCTTCTGAGCGGCATAAGAAGTTTGATAGGTGTAACAAATTACAAGATAGTATGGATGATCAACTTCATCATCGCAATTGCAGTGAGGTTTCAGTGCAGATTTGAACACCATTACGAAGCTTGAAATGGGTGATTGAGAGAATGTAATTTTACACCACTTTCAGGAATGATCTAGCTTTTGAAAAAAAACAGGTCTTCGCCAGGCTAAACCAGTGTTGGCATGAGCAACAATCCAAGTAATTAGGTGACAATGACACATAATCAGCAAGGTAAAATACGACAGGACAAGCACTGGGTACTGGAATCCCCAGAATCCTCATAGGGGATCTTTAAGATGGAATAAAACATCTACTACACTGACCCTGATCCTGTGATGTTTCCGCACAGCAAATACCCTCCATCACCATCAGTGAACCAGTTGCCTTCAATGTCATAGAACAGTCAGTTAAACTTGACATGATCAAGAAAAGCATGAATAAATACATTGCAAGTCATTCCCTGGCATTTGATTGGCTTACCAAGCAATCTTTTAACACTAAACTGAAAAAATAAGGCCATACCCACTGACGGACTACTGTTTCCTGATCGGCTGATAATAGAATTAGTGGGACTTTTTTTATTATCATTTTGCTGAATGATGTCACTGATTTTTTACTACGGTCTACATTTTGAATATGATTAATTAAACAGTATGCAAAGTTATTTATATATATTTATATTTTATATATAAACATAAAATTGTTGTGCACACTTTGCAGATTTTACGTATACCTACATAAACGCAGAAAAACCTGAAGTCAATTCTGTAATAATATTACCAAGTGAGTGAGTTGGAATTAATATTTTTTTAGAGTATTTCACTATATCACAACCTGTCAGCTTCAGATAATATCTCAAAGTGATGCCAGACAGAGACATTTATCACTTTGGTAAAACCAAGCATCATAATCAGGGAGAATCTGGTTTCATGACTAATGATCAGCAGATCCTGACACAACCAAGAGGCAAAACTAATTATAAATTTCCAATAAGTCTTTGAAAAAGAAGTGCTTTCAAATGATATTCTCCTCTGCACTGATGTGGTCATCCTGAAAATGATGGTATTACATAGATTTGATACCACTGACAGACCAATCAGAATGCAGAATTGTAAAATATCCTGGTAAACTATGAGTGTCTGATCAGCATGGTAGTAGCAGTTTAAGAGTTACTTACTTGAGTTCCGTATATGTTCACTGTAGTGTGTAACATACATAGAATCAGACTGTGTGATGTTATAGTTCAAAACACATTTCTGTCGGAGTCCTCCCATGTACACTTGCAGAGCAAACAGAGCAAACACCATCAAACAAAACACTGTCAACATTATCACTTCAATCAGCATCTTGAAAGCTCGAAGCAGGGCACCAACTATAGTCTTTAGACCTGAAACATGGCAAAATAAAATCAAGATTGGACAACACGTCTATAAGCAATGTTTGCCATCTGTTACCATGGTTACAGGTACATTAGACAAAGTAGCATAAAATTAACATGATGCAGATTTGAAATTTGAATAAACGCAAACACTTATTCCATGATGCACATTATCAATCAAATACATGTCTTCTTCTGCTCATTCTTGCTTATCCAGTGAATTACTTTTCCATTTTATTATGTTGGGTGGTTGGGAAGCTTAGTGTAGAAAGCGTTCGCTCGTCACACTGAAGGCACGGGTTCGATTCCCCTCATGGGTACAATGTGTGAAACTCTTTTCTGTTGTCCCCCACCGTGATATTGCTGGAATATTGCTAAAAGCCATGTAAAATCCATCTCACTCACCCATTTTATTATTATAAACACCCTCAACCTAATCGCTGCCATAGCTTCATTTTGAGCCTGATTCAAATGGCATGATGTGAATGAGAGAAATTCTGTGTGAAGTTATTTATATGAGCGAAGTGATGGAGGTGGTGACTACACTTTCTAAAGGAAGCTCTGCTGGCCAATGGATCCAATATATGGGTCCAAGATATTTATCAATATGACAAGGGTTACTATTGCTACCACTAGTGTGTACAGTAGGCTATTATTCTTCATCAATAGTAAATCAGACCAAGAAGGAAGTACCAACTATTATGGATAGCAACAAGAGGCTTACCTGGTATAATGGACACTGTTTTTAATGCTCGGAATACCCTGAATGTCCTCAAACTTGTGAGATTGCCAACAGAAAAGCCTGGAGCTGCAGCTTGGATGATAGTTGTGACATACCTGGGAACAAATATTATTGCTGACTGCACTACTGTAGCATAAATGTGTGAACCTCATCTCAATTCCCATTGACTTTCTGTTACTTCTTTCAGTGGCATTTAGAAGTTGGTGTGATGAAGTAAGACGAGTTCTATGGATGAACAACTACTTTATTACAATTAGTGCGACGTTTCGGTGTAGATCCTAACACCTTTATCAAGCAAGTGATCACTTGCTTGATAAAGGTGTTAGGATCTACACCGAAATGTGTAATTGTAATAAAGAAGTTGTTCATCCAAAGAACTCGTCTGACTTTCTGTTATTTCAGATCAGCAAGAATAATTTTTATTATCAAATTTATTATCACATTTTGGATATATTTTGCTTCGTAACACAAAAACACTTCTACTGTCTGAATACATGACACTTTTTTAATTTATAACAATTTTTTTTATTCTTTGAACGTTTCAGGGCTACTTCTTGTCCTTTCATCAGTGAATAATTTGATGAAGGGTCAAGAAGTAGCTCTGAAATGATGTTACAAAGGTTGCAGAAGCTGTTATCCATAAAAAAATTAGCAGGGATACAAAAGGTTGGTGATTTATTCATGTGACAACAGTGGAGGAAGTGCCTGTTTTCTGTCAACACTTAGGTGGATTTTCATTGTCATATAATATGTGTCAAGCATTGTTCGAAAATGGAGAAAATGTGAATGTGTGAATCTCCACCTACACTTCAAACACTATGTTCTTACTACTGCAAATTACTCAAGCAGTAACAATTCTTTAAACATAGAAATATCATCATTGTCATTTGTTCCCACAAAATGACTGTAAGAGCAACAAACGTATTGACATAGAAGCGTATAGCATCTAGCTGGCTGATTGACCAGTTACTATCTTGAAAACACACCAACAATTTGCCTGAACTGTCATAATGATGCCTAGTGAGATTTGTTAACTGAAGTTCAAATACTAACACTAAGATCTACTGAAAATAATGAAAGGTCCTGGCTAGTAGACTCAAAAGTTTTTTTGCACTGCTTCTATGGCATTTGAATATAGGTACATCCTTATTCTAGCGACCACTTGACTTCCAACTTAATTTCAAACACTGTTCTCTATATTTATTGATAATTATCAAATATTTATCGAAAGGTTTATTGACTGAGTCAACATTTATTATCCAAGACCGGCTTCAGCTGTAAATATTGCTTGTGTAAGATAAAAATAATATATCTCCTTGGAGATATCGCATTCCCTAGGCTTAAGTGTTCATATCAAACACAAGTGATTCTATTTTAGAATAAAGAAGATGTGACTGAGCGCCAGACCCTACTGTTTCCTAACTGTGGTCTCACAGCATAGTAACGTTACATAAATCTTTACACACTGACATCGTAAGGTAATGGTGGCACATCTCTAGAATGGAGGTATTTCTCAACAGCTTAAACTCTTGACCACTTTGCTATTTTAACAAAAGAAAGGCATAGCATTCAACTTTGCATGATAAATTTAAAAACAATGCAATACAATATTTAGGTTGTGAAGTCTTACAGATATCGTACCAGTACAGAAAATATATCGGCTGCAAAAGTTTCAGCTGAATTCAAGAATTACATTGTGATATTTCTTTTCAAGGTGATGTGCTTTTATGATTTCAAGATGGCCGGAAACATGGTCTCAAATATATGGTTGTTGTACGCAAAGATTGGATTCTAAATAAAATGTCACACTCATATCATATCTTTTTATATCAAATATATCAGCACTTGCTGATAAAGTAGAAAGCCTTGTTAGCAAGCCTCAGAGCTTTGCTACCCTTATGCTGATATATTTGATATCAAAAGACTCTCGTGTGAGATTCTCTATACAAACACTGATTCAAGGGGAAATGGTTGCAAATGTGTGTGGACTGTCGGAGAGCTAAAGTACCACAACAAGATTTGAACCAGGCCTCCATCAGTGTTGAATTGCACACATCCTCATAACCTGAATACTCGCCATTAAATCTACAACAGTTTTTCTTCTTACAATACCAAACAACTCACAAGCAAAACCCTGTAATCAGGTCAAGATGTTCTCCTATTGTGCATCATAAAAGAGATACTAATGCCTCATTTTTAGCACAACAATGTCAAGGATTCAATTCAGAGGCAATTTAGAAAAGTTGCCAGCAACAATCAATTAAGTACATAATCATTATCCTTGATCCTATTGATTTTCTGTTATATGTGTTTTTGTATGCATCATGCACAAGATAAAGATCATTTCAAAACTGTTAGAGCTGCCAAAGGTGTGAATAGAACAATTACCCAGGTATTAGTCAATGACAGCTGCATATATACTATTAATCATAAATATTAGGCACATGCCAGTTTGACGTAACTTGTATGGTGTGTGGTGCATAAAAAATAAACAAATAATCAATTATATCAACCGGATATTTTTTATTCTTATCTGACCATAATGGTTTGATAAGCTGTGTTTACACATAAAAACTGAACAAAATATGAACAATTACCAACTCATCAGTTGTCAGTAATGTTTGACATCACAAGAAGCCAAATAAATCTATTTAAATTTTCACTTGTATTTCCATATTTTCATTTGCATAATATAATGACATGTGTAGAGAAAAATTCATTTTATGGACAGATAGCCATCTTTATTTAAGAAACGTTAGACAAATGTTTTGAAAATGGGACAGTGAGTGAAGATATGAAAGTATTGAAATACGCCTTTTCAGTGTCTTTCCTGTTGGGCTTGGCAAATTATGTAAATAATGACACACAACTAAATGATGACATGTAGAACACATTCAAAACTTAAATTAAACATACTTACGCTATTACTATGACAACAAAATCCAGCCAGTTCCACGGATCTCTCAAATAGGTGTAGTTGTTGATAAAAAATCCTCTGGCTATTAACTTGATAAACATCTCTAATGTGTATATTCCTAAGAACACATACCTGCAACAAAAGAGTTACAAGACATGACTGATACCAAATGTGATAAGTAAAATGTGATAAAAGAGATATTACCATCGCAGGTCATACAATAATGTGTCAAAAATCATCACAGTGTAAAAAGCTACCGGTAATGGTTATTACTTCCTAATGCATGTCTCGTAACTGTGAAGGCTACATGACAGAAACCTTCGAGAAAAACTACATGGACATGATGAACTCAAATATCTAACTTTTCCAAATGAAGTATGTTGAAATCCTGTTAGTCCAGAATATTGTTGGGAAATTTCCTATAAACTGCAGGGCAAAAGAAAGTATACACCCATGTATGATGGCTGCTAAAAATATAACAAACAAGAAATGGTTCTTCGATGGTGACATATTGAGTGGGGTGGAACTTTTGCTTTAAACAATAACTTGTATGTCTTTCCTTTTCAACACCAATAAATACCTATCAGTGATACAATTTGGGTTCCTACTATCTATCAGTGGAGGGAAATCGTCTTTTAAAGTTTTCCCAAGGGTGTATTATTTGGTTCAAATCCCAACTTCCCATTCCAAGAAATGGCATTCAGAAGCCATATTTCAGATTGAAACAAGTGAACAAATGTTTTGATCCTGTGCCATCAGCCAGATAATGAAAGGCAACTGCCGAGATGTAAATAGCCCTCACATCTATAATAGGCACAATGCACCAAAATACACACACTGGAGATTTTAACATTGCGGGGAAAACTGATTTTATGTTTTATTTCCCCAAACCATTTCCAGACATTTATTGTATTTCACTCATTATCTGATCCCCAGACGAAACCAAGTGTAGTTAGTATTTAATCAAAATATAGTTTGTATTATTTAAAGTTTAAACCAGTGAAAGAAACTGTGCTAATTACAGGGTTGTCATTCATTGTGGTTTTACTATAGCCTGGTTAAGTCTATCCTTTGGTCTCTTTAACTGTAATCAGTAACTCAGAATGTGATTAGGTATCATTGTAATCATGATTTATTAATTATCCCTGAACCAAATGTCAACTAACAGTAAATTAAAATTCTTTCTGCCAAAGTGTAACACATAAGAGTTGATACATTCTGTTACATACAATTACCTAATTACGATGCTGACTATGCAAACATAAAGAGATAATTATCCCCCAAACCTATGCACAAAGTGCAAATTCTAACAATATAAACTGTCAAATATTACACATCTGTGATATTTAGTCAGTAATGTTGTTTTATGCCAATGCAAGCAATATTCTAGCTCAACTATAGCTGCCTGTAAACAATCTTCTCTGTATAAAATGATCAATTTCATCAGGGTATAATGATACATGCAAGATTACACTTCATATCTACCAGAACCCTCATTTCAGTCTGCTCCGGAGCTCCGTAAATGCACAGTTCAAAATTAAGCATGAAAGTCAAATAGGCCTTATAATCCAAATTTTAAAAATGAAGATTTAGGGGGGTCCCCAGATTGAAATACCATAGAAGATCCCTAGAACCCCAGGACCCCCTTCATTTACCAACACTGCTATTGAATCCTCATCATGCTGACTGAGTTTCTCATGACAAATTCGTCATTAATGAACCAATACTTTGATCATACATTTACTTTTGATACGAGTCAGATAAGTTTGTGTACCCTAATGACAATGTACACACATTCATAACACAGAAACTTTATCATGATGTTGTCTGTAAATTGCTACTTGTTTTCCTTGGTTATTTAACCAACTCATGAACCTGTATTTAATGATCTACATGGTCATAATATCTGCATACCAAAAACTTACATATTTTCTTACATGCTGGTATTTATGATGTTCATTTTATGAAATTCAAATCAAATAATGTAAATTAAAAGAAAAGGATAATTTCCCAATAAATAGGGTACACATTTATTTGTCATGAAACTAGAAACAACACCATGTTGGATAAGGGCAAAAGGGAGCCAAGTGGTCAAAGCCATGGCTTGTCATGCTGATGATCTGGGTTCACTTCCCAATATGGATTCCAAGGACTATGTGTGGAGTCCATTCTTGGTGTCCCTGACTGACACTGGAATATTGCTAAAAGAAGTGCTAAACTTACACATAAGATGAGATTTGTACTTACTCGGAGGATTCTGTGAATGTCATGGTTGGTAAAGCAAGAAAGACACAGTTTGTGAGGATGGTAAGGATGACAAAATAGTCAAAGAATTGATTGGTGGAGACAAACACAGCCATCTTTCGTATAGGGTTCCATGGGGGGAAAATGTAGAAAGATCGAGTTGCTGAAAACCGGTATATAGTCTTCTTTGTGACCCGTCTGGAAATGACCACAAATGACTGAAATAGATAAAAAAAAAGGACTTAGTATTGGATATCAATTTTATACTTCTCACAGGAAATTAATGTTTCATTCAAGTATCCAACAGATTATTGTTTGTGTAAAGCAGCATTTCTAAAGTGATGAGTAATAGTCAGGTTGCCAAGTGGTTGGTTCATCATCACACATGACCCAGGTTTAATTTTCTAAAGGGGTACAATGATTGAAACCCTTTTTTGGTGTTCCCATATTGCTTTGAATATTGCAAAAAACTGCATTTTTTCATTAGGTGGTTTTAGAGCTGGCTAAACAGATCGATAATCAGATTTATCATCGATGGGAAGAAATATTAACGATTATCAATGTGAAATTGTTGTCATCGATCATAACTTACATAAACTACCGTGATGAAACAAAGTTTAGATTTACCGAAACAGATTTGTTATTGTCAATTAGGTCAATTGTCAAAGACAGAAAGCAACTGTTTTTGTTATATCTCAAATCTCCACAAAGAGGCGTGAAATATGTTGATTTAATTTACTTCTCCGATATCAATTGATAATTGATCAATATTTAATTAGCAATTAACAATCTCTATAATCTATATCGATAACCAGCCCTAGTTGGTTAACAGACTTTTTCTCTCTAAACCTTCAGTTGGTACTTGAAACAAAATAAAAAATATAATTAGACAAAATTTGGGTTGGTAGGATGAGAAAGAAATAACATTTCAAATTCTATTCTATTGTTTTTGTAATTGTTAAGAAACGTGGCAGGAATGTCAGACATTTCATAGCATTTACAGGAACAGTGCCACACAATGATGGAGTTCTAGTGAAGCTATGAATAGTATTTATCATCACTGGTGTTTGAAGTACATTGACAGGTTGTTGAGTATATATTCCTTATCTCGGTCAGACAGTGAAACAATTCGTGAAAAAAACTTTTAATTGGAATTTTTATTCACATGTCTAATTGTTAAGGTCGGCAGATCCGAAGACCAAGTGTTAAAAACAACACCGCCTAAGCAAACTCGCTTCTCATTCACATGGTTTCTTAACCTCCTAACATTCATAATTCAAACCTACTCTTAAGAACAATTACTGCACAATTCTGAAACACAGTTTATGGAGTTCTCTCTAATGGTGTGATTTCCCCTACAATAACAGGTCACACCATGATGCTACGGTCATCAATCAAAGGTAATACTCAGCTGATGGTCTCACGGCTTCCCTGATTGAACACTAATGTCATCACAAAATGTGTGTGTATGTTCATTTCATACTCGCAGGACCAGATCTCCTCAAGTATCCATCTTGTAGGGGCATGGTCGGCAAGGTTTTAGCTAAGGTGATGCAATTTGTCATGCAAAATTGAGTCTCCTTGGCAAGCTAGAAACAGTGTTCATGGGTTTAAATCCCAGATTCGTCTGTTTAGGTTTCTTGAACCTAAGACCTCTATCACTTTGGGCTTTCCTCCCACATCAAGCTGACACACTGTTGCCCCAGGGTAATGGGTATATAACCAAAATACTGGTCAAATTAAGTGGCGTTAAATCACCGACCTATTCTCCACCTTGTACTTTACTAAGGTTCCGGATCAGATTTTCAATACTTTTATAAAAAAATTAAATCTGGTTTGAATTTGAAATGAGAATGTAAATCTAAAAAAATGACATTCACTTATAATCATGAATAACATTTGAGCATGATGAAAAGGGCAAACCCAACAGGACAGTTGACTAAAATAGATTAATGAGAATATAGTTCATGAGAATCTGGTGATGCAATGCAAACACAGTAAGAAGCCATGCTATATGAGAAGAGCTTTGTTGAAACTATATAATACCACGCTACTCAAGAGTAGTAATCTTACTTTGGTGTCTGTGAGTCAGTGGGTGAGTATGGCTGTATGTTGATTTTAGCAATATTTCAGCGATATCACAGCAAGGGACACCAAACTCGGGTCTTCGGCATGGAATGCTCATGCTTTAACCATTAGGCTAGGAGCCTCACCAATTAACTTACTTGTTCTTCAGAATAGTCGCTTTCTTTTCACATATCGACAAACTTAATCTATTTTGAGTAGTGATTTCTCTATATTTAGCTATTTAGTTAACAATATTTTTTCTAGCTTCCAGAAATATACATTCCTGCTGACAAGAATTGAGCCTTTATAATTACAAAATCAGATATACTCAAAAGAAATTCAACAGAGTTAATCTGAAAACTAATTTCTAGAGTTCTTACGACAGGTACATTTTCTTCAACCAAATCTACTTCCTTACAGTTACTTCTTAACTTTTTTTGATGATACTTATAAAAATATTGCATTTCCACTGTGCATCTGTTGTCCATGATTCACAGGTAGCTTGAAGTTTCTTAATCAGCACTAATAATTCTTCAGAAGAGATTATCAATATTTTAATGGATGAGAAGGTCAGTGCATAATATCACCTCAGTAATGAAATAACAGGGGTAAAGAAGCAGAAGTTGCAGTAAGCTGCTGATGAGTTTCCTCATTATTGTGATTTGTTTTGATGTGCATGGCATGATGGGACTTAAAGAGGTAAATAAATCTTAATGATTAGCAACAATTTACTCTTCTGGGAGCAACATACATCAATATTTCGGTACTTCTCATCAAAACAAGAACATCATCCTCCTAATTGATAACTGTTGGCATAAATGTATGATCATCATAACTCTTCCAGTTCAATCATTCTCATTATGTTGTCAATGCCTTGGAATCTCTTGCATGTATTAAGATATCTAACAGTATATAATGACATGGTTCTGACAATGTAACCAGTAACGTTTATCACACTGTAACCTTGTGTCAAGAGCGCCTCAACAATAATACATCATACCCCTTTTAGCATCTTAAAACCTCACAACAAGCTTATGTAACATATCTCTTAAAAATAATACACAAATAATACAAAAATAACCCAAAGCAACGTAAAGAAATAGGATAAATTTGGACTTGTAACTAGAAAAGAAGCAATGGCTGACGTGGCATCTTTACCGGTGCAGAGTTGGAATCATCATGTGAAGCCTTGTTAATTTCTATAACAGCATCAGGTACATTAGCAGGATAGTTGAGATGGAACTCGGGTATACACCAATCCTTCCAGGTTTGCACAGAGAGCCAACCAAGGGGCATTCCCCTCACAGTAATTACACAAGCAATTAATCCTTATGTGTAGTGTTTTCGCTGCCGTCTCCACTGACAGTCTTTCATGAATAAGTCAGGTGCCACCCGGTGGGTGTGAAATTTAATATCCGCTGTATCCTGCAATTCCAAAGACTCAAAGTGGAATCACATCCAGATCTTGCATTTAGCATTCACCAGCTTTTTCTCCTGCAACTGTTTCGCATTTCGGTGGATTTTGTTTGTAGTGGATTATAATCCCATCGATATTATTACAGGTAGGTCTCTGACACCTGAACTAAACATTTACCAGAAATTGTCAAGTCGCACACATCCATCCATCCCAGTTTGCCGCACTCACAATCCTCAAATCACTGCTTCACAGGGGAGCTGTGTGTTCATCATGTATTTATGTCAGTAATTAACTTTTGTTTTTCGTGCCACCCTTTGCCTCTGAAAGTGCAGTTTCCAGTCTCCTAGCTTCATCCATTTTGAATGTGAGTGAGCATGGAGCTATTTTCTCCTGTAGGGTAAGACTGACTTGGGGGGCTGCAAGTGTTGGAGCGGGGCAGCTGCCACCCCCCACGGACTCTCAAGTTACACAACACACTGATGAGACTGCCTGAGATGCTGGTGCTGTAATTACTGTTCTTTATACATTTTCCTACAAATCTCACAAACCATGGTCATCTAAATCTTATAACTGCCTTCAAGTATATATAAAACATAGCTGAGGAATGGTACGCCTTATTATACCAACTCACGTAACTGTTGTGAACGTTTCTACTGCCAGCTGAATAAACAGATTAATTTGAAAGCTAATAGAAAACTTTTGGGGTGAAATATTTTAGTTCTATTTTCATATGTCTAAAGAGTTTTCATGGACAATTTAAAAAAGATTCCATTGTTCTGCTATGTCATAGGTCAGGTACTAATACTCTCATAAGCATTAGACAATTTATGACTTTGCAGAAAGATGTAATAAGATTTTCAATAATGATCTTTTCTTAGCTAAAGACATTTCTCTAACTAGTTAACCTGAAAGATTTGTAACTAATTTTACTCACAAATATAGATTTGTTTGCAACTATGTTCACTCAATTTACATCAGTGTGTGACAAAGCTGTTTGCTTCATTTTCATTAGATTGTAGTGTTACTATATGGACTTGTTTGCTGAGCATGCTTGCTTGGCCAAAAAATGTTTAACAAACCTTTGCTTCAAACATATATCTTAAAGATAGCCTATTAAGTGGTCATTTCACAAACAGCTTCAGTGTAGGCTGTGTACAGTGAGTTGGGTTTAACACCACTTTGAACAGTATTCAAGTTACCGTATTCGACGTAATAAGCGCCCAGGGCGCTCTCAAAATTAGAAATAGGGGACTCTTATTAGAATATTATTTTGGTGGGAAAAAAACAGAGTTGAAAGATAAATTTTGTGGTTTATGCTGACAGCCTGAAAAGTTTATATACGACAGATATATTTTTCCAGAATTTAATTGCCCATAATTAAGGGTGCATATAACACACGAGTGTGTATTATACGAGAATAGATAAGTCTTGTGTACATTGATCAATTGGAATGGGTTCTAATTTGGATTGTTCACTTGCCAACATATTAGCAAATATCGCTTATTAGAGCGGGGCACTTATTACGTCAAATACAGTATATCACAGCTGTCATCTTGATGTGGGAGGAAAGCCCGAAGTGATGCAAGTTTTAAATGTCTACCATTCTAGTGAAACCAACGAGCACGGGTATGGTGCTGACAAAACAAGAAACACAATCGGGGCAAACTGGGATTCAAACTAACGATTTAGGTTTCAGGCATGCCCAAGGGACACAACTCTGCACAGCGAATTGCG